TTTCTAAATACATCGATATACTTCCCACCATATGTCTTCATAAAGCAAATAAACAACTAATGACCGATTTTTTAAACTCAGTATTGATACATAAATAATATATAAATGTACTATAATTAAAAATAAGTAGTTATTCGACGAAATCGCATTTACAAAAATAGTAATTTAACATCAAAATAATCTAAAGGATAAAGATCATGTACACAGTAACATATGAAAGTAACTATTACTTCGAATGTCGTTGAGTTAATACATGTCCGACTGGACTATTATTAACACGACAGAATTTGTTAAGAAGTGAACAAACAGCAGGTGGTGTTGGTATAGGTACATCTTCCAGTGCTGAAACAGTTTCAGCTGACTCTGAACAGTAATCTTCATAAGTAAAGTCCGAATCCGAATCAGTATAAGAAACATCAGAAAACGTATCTACTTGAATTTTTTTTTCTGGAACTAAGTGTTTAGAGGAAGATTTTTTCCTGTGAGGTTGTGGGGGTAATAATTCCGTTATGAAACTACCTATTTCTGGTTCAGGCCACATGGAACATCTTTCAAATAATGCATTAAGACGTGCTTCAACACTCTCATCGGGTAAGTCCTCAGAACGTAACAGGGAAATACATCGAAATCGAGAACGGATGTCATTACTTTCTAGTTTACCGATTTTGCCATTTAGATGTAGAGGAGTTATTTCGCAATATGCACGTCCAGCACAAGTCAAATGACGACGAAGCTTCGGTCGTAATCCGTTGGGAACTGATGCTTTCCACAATGTTAGGAAGTCATTTAGGTCAAAGCTACTAATAACTGATAATAGATGTTCTCCAACTATTTGACAAATTTTAGAATTCCTCGGGTAAATGTATACATCTTTAGAATCAAGTGTTTTTCGATGTTCTAACTGGGAAAAAAGTAACATCATAATTTGTTTGGTAATATTTGGAAGATGTTGATTGGTCAAGCCTTCGATTGAGGCATGTAAAGGGAAGCCATAGGTACGCCAATCCCATGCATTTTCATCAGCGAGGGCGAATAGATCTCTAATTACCTATTTATGAGAAAAAGGGGAAAGATTATAAACTCTCCAGTTTAATTCATTAAAGTAAAGTAACTCAACAACCTAGTACAGGTTCATGTAATTAGTTATGAGTAATTTTAGTGTGTACGCTATCGACACTGCATTTGCCCAAACCGACGTGTATAGGGAAGGACTCATATCTGTTTTGTCAACTGCGTTTCAATACGTAACTAAACCCATGTGAAGTGATACTAAGTTATACATTGGTTGTATCTTAAAACTGGCCAAGATTTTCGCACGTATTTATATTGTCTTAATAATAATTAAGGATATTAAATCAAGCTAAACTAAACTCCCGACAAAACCATCAAACTATGATTAACAGTGAATGCAATTTATAAACTAAGTATACCTGGATACACGGTATTTTGTTTACAACAGATTTGTCTTTGATCTGAGATCCTTCAGTCCAAGTATAACTATTTGAACAACCAAGTGTCCATGTCTTAGTGATTAAGCTTGGCTACCGAGACTCAACACTTATAAAAGCTTTTCAATCTCAAGTACCCTCCCCCCACCCAAAAAAAATGTATTCCTAACAGTTATTACTGGACTCAGTTAACTGCCAAAATTACTCTTATTTTAATATATCTGATTAACAATAAACTTAGTACTCATAATGAAAAGCTTTATGTAAAGAGGATGCCCTTCAGAAAAGCAAATAATTACATAAACCAGGAAACGAAATAGATATCGGGAAAAATGACTGAAAAAATGTATCGTTGTAAGGACGACAGATGGTAAAAATATAGATAAACATTATTTAAACAATCAAAAACAGACACACTCGCCACAAGAAAACTTCATTTATTTATGACTAACAATAGTAAAATCTTATGTGGAAAAGTCCAAGTATTGAGGCTTTACATAAGTAGTAAAGCCTGTGAAGTTGGTTTGTCAGCAAAAATCCTATAATAAGAAGTGTGGTCTATTTTTAAGTAATAACATACTTGTGTTATGTATTCAGGATCAAGCATTCGTAAGTACCCGTTGATTTCACATATACGCAACCGTCGAAACGCATCATCAAGTTCCAGTTTACTGCACGGCAGTTGGGTTGCAACAGTGTCACGATCAAAATAGCTGGTAGTGGAGCTTTTATTCTCTGAATCGTATTCATCATCAGTAGGACCATAGTAGATAGATGAAGCCAACAAAAGCTTCAGCTGTTTTAAAGATGGAGCTGAACACTGTTGAAGTTGAAAGTAATTATGTTTAACAGCTTGAATTGGTGTAACAAGTACTAAATTCTCTTTAGGGATATCGGATGACGGTAGCCAACAACTAGAGGCTAAAAGTAGTGTATTAGATGTTTCTGCTTCTATAACAGAAAACGTTTTGTCACTTATACAAGCAAATACACGCCCAGTATTATTAGATTTAGGTTCATCTTTTAAAGTGATAACTTGGCTTTTTATTTTGTCCATCACTTCATCCGCTAACCAATTCGGGACTTCAATCAATTTGTACTCGTCAGACAATAATGGGTTATCGAATTTCACTGACTGAAATATGTTTGATGTGAAAGACATATCCAATTTAGCACATTCAAGTAGTTCCTTCATTGATTCATATGTCCTTGGGGTTGACATATTTACACTAATTCGGAAATAAAAACTCAATGTATATAGGTATGAAAATAGTGCTGAAACGCTACAACAGATGAATATATCTGTCGTTAATTAGAAGAAATTCCTCCCACGTACCGAAACACGTGCGTTACTTAAACGTAAAAAACAACTGTTACTAAGGAAAGACACCAATCATTAATAAACTTAACATATGCAGTTTCTCGGATACTTAGGTCTACATCAGAACCTCACAAACTTAGTTGAAACAAGATTGTTAAACACTAACTGATAAAAATATACTTCTGTTTAAAGATCAAAGTGCATAACAGGTAGATAAAAAATCAAAAATTTTCTAATCAATTGAACTGACTAGTAACTTATATATTTGTCGAACAGTAACTACGTAGAATGTTTGTTCACTATGACAAACTCAGTCATAAAACGTGAGATGCGAGTGCAAAGGTTTAAGCCGCGACACCACATAAGGATGGTGGCCCAGTTTTAGCAGTTAGATTGATTGAGATCTTAGGATAGAATTTGGGAACTGGACATAATCCCATCTGACTGGTCTCAATCGATGATTGTCCCAATTTTTAAAAAGGACAAAAGTCCTTTTGCGACAATCACAGAGGAATAGGTTAAATTAATATAGTTTCTAAATTGTTAGCTTGGATAATACTCAGGCGCCTAACTAAAACTCGTGAGGAGTAGACTCGAGAAAACTAGGCTGCTTTCAGACCTAGACGTGGATATATGGACCACAAATTCACACTACGACAGGTCCTAGAACAGAGACACGCGTTTAGGCGTCCGATAATAGTTGTTTTCCTTGACCTTAAAGCGGTATTTGACTCTGTCGATCTTGAGGTTCTGTGGCAGTGTCTGTCATTAAAAGGTGTACTAAACAAGTACATTAACCTAACACAGGGTCTCTACTCGAACACCACACGTAGAGTGAGAAAACGTGGCGAAATGTCGTCGGAATTCTCTACTTCAAGTGGTGTCCGTCAGGCCTGTCCACTATCTCCATTCTTGCCTAACTTTTTCATTGACACAGGCATATAGGTGCGACACTTGCATCATGACTTTTCAGGAGTAGACCTTCTATCAGGAAATTCGCTCATTGACTTAGAATATGCCGATGATATAGTTTCGTTTTGTGAAGATGCTGACAAAATGCAGTCTTCTGACTGGCCTAAGCAACAGTGCAAGCATGTTCGGGTTGCGGTTTCCCCCCTGGGAACGCAAAATGTGGCTTCAAGATTGACTTGCGTCGGCACCTGAACTGGTGATAGAGAGTGAAGTAGTTGAACGTGTTGACCGCTTCACTTATCTAGATAGCCTCATCAGTGCTGATGGCCTGGTGACTGACGAAATCTCAGCACGGATAGAGAAGGCTTGGTTGGCTTTTGCCAACTTGCGTCACTTATGGCGTGGGTGAGATATCCGTCTGCTAACCAAAGGACGAGTCTACTGCACGACAGTTCGCTCCGTCCTACTTTGGGGCTGTGAAACATGGCCAGTCAGAGCAGAAGATTTTCGTAGGTTACTGATTTTCGATCATAGGAGTCTCCGAAGAATTACCCGAGTATCCTGTGACAACCGAGTAAGGAATGCTGTTGTTAGGAAACGGGTACTAGGTAAGGATGGCAGATCAATAAATGAGGTAGTCAAACTTCATCAGTTGACGTGGTTGAAACGTGTGTTATGAATGCCTAACCACCGATTGCCTTGACGGGTGATGTTGTCCGAGGTAGGGTTGGACTGAAAGGAAGCTGGTGACAGCCAAACCAAAACACGGCACAAATGCACGAAGTCACTGACAAATGGAGTGAGTCATTTCGGTAGGTGTGGACTACCTGGTTTGGGTTTGCGAGACGCTAGTAATCGGTGGTTAGAGACCTTGACCGACACAACTCAAAATCGTTTGCGATTGCGCAGGTACATCCACTATTTGTGCTCTCTCTAATCCGTATCTTCTGAATTCATCGCCTCTACCTCTCGCTTTCTAATCTTATCTCACTGAATTATACTTCTTGAATAATATTTTGGAACTCTAATCCTCTCCATTACCAGTAATACATATATATACAAAGCTCTGAAGTCATTTGACAGCTTTGAAATATAACTCAATCAACCTGACTATATCTGTGTTTTAAGTGGTCTATCAATTATAGGATATTACGTGAATTATTAACGTGACTTAGCTGCTGAGATGTAAGTTAGCGATGATTACTGAGAATATGTGGCGAAATTTGTGGATTTAATATTAAAAACAAATTTTATTGGTGAACATTGATTATTTTGTTAAGAAACTCTCAAAAGTGGTTAGCATATGCAGATTGTATCATCAGTTATAAATGATATTCAGACTGTTGATTTAACTCCAACTTTCAGACCTCTAGGAAACTACTTCTACAACTTTTCTGCAACCATATAGGTACATGCATAACTTACACCTGAGTCTACCAGTACCTTACATTGACTAGACTTCATTTTCTAGGATAGAGTAAGACTTGGTGTTTACCGCTTGTAGTTACACTTATAATTGCAATGACATCTGATTTTGTCTTACCAGTAGGCGTGTAGTATCTTCGTCGACATAGTGTACTACTAGTCTGGGAAGTATATGAAAGTTTTTATTTTACTAAATTGTTTGTATACACTCAACTAAAACATTATACTGGTGGTTGCAACAGAGAATTGAGACATCTTGAAAAGATTTATGCAGAGGATTAGCCAAAAGACAAGTCTTCTAAAAGCTTACTTAAAAAGTAACTTTGCATTCATGTCCAGTAGGGAACTAGCTTTTTTCGTGATAGTTCCCTTAACGAATTACAACATGATAAAGTAAGACGTTTGACTATTACCACAAGCTTAAGGTTCTAATCTGTGGTTTGTTGCGCTCTTACTTTTGGTTGGAAAACTTATTAGTGACACGAGTGGCATCCAAAAACAAGTTTATTAGGAGTAGCACTACTTATTAATCAAACGCAAGTGATTAGAAAATGATTGAGGAAATTACGGTCTTTACCACAAACTTGCAACATCCACATAATTGTATACTCATCTTAGAATACAATATTTGGCTGGGGATGCAACTGTTAAGCGCAAGAATACAATGCTGCCGTTTGATTTGTGCTCAGTCCCAATTGTCCTAGTACGACCGAGTGGGGGAGTTTGTTATCCCTCTAGAGATTGTCTCACATGACTACGCGTGTATAGCCAGTAGCAGAGAAGTTCTACTCGTGCGCTGTTAGGAGTACGGAGATGGACGTCACGTCTCGGTTGTCCATACCGTGGAAGGATGTTAGGTTGTCGTTGGTCTTAGTGACCCGAAAGCGCTGCCAGACCCTAAAGAACAAATGTTTGAGGCTGATCGCGCACAATCTTCTTATGAGAAGTTTGTTAATGCGTAGCTCCGCTCCTTAAAAGGCCTCGTCGCCGAAGACGGGAATTTGTGGGCCAAGGTGGGGTGTAACATCTCCAACGTCGACCTTTTTCAGACTCTTCCCTCTGTTGTGAGAAGGTAGCACTGCTGCAGATGCTGAATGTCCGAAAGAAACACCTTACTGCTGTTACATCCCTCTACGGTCGACAGTACGACTTTGCCCTCAGACCTCGATTCAAGATAGCAGCCACGATTGGGAAAATTCTAGCTACTGCTTTTTCATGACCGGAGTGCTGTTAACGAAAGTAAAAGGACGGCACGTAAAACGGCTCTGTGGATGAAGAGGATTCCTTTAGAGTTGGAAGAATCAAATAGCATAAAAACCTAGTCTTGGTGACTGTTTGTCATAAGAGTGTATCCTTTAACATTGCTTCACTTGTGGGTTAGATATGTAGGTTAAGGGCTTAGGGAGCAGACTTTTAAGAAACCACTTGGTTCGGTCTACGTACCCAGATAGTATCTCAGTGCACACACAAATTTAATGACTTGTGGGGTGCATATGGATTTAGCTGCCCCGTTATACCGGCGTTTGTGCGAATAATTAGGATACCTTATGATTGAATCCTTCTAATGTTATTGTTTGGTTGTCTGTTCCGTTATATTCCACCATTACATCGGTGCACAGATACTTTGAACACGCTGACTAATTAACACCCTGCGAAGTCCGGACTTATCTGAATACGAAGTACAACAGACCAGTATATTCCAGTTCTGGATACTTCTCACTGTAACAGAATAGCTAGATTTCCTGTTTTTGTGCTGTTTCTACTCTAATGTATTTGATAGTGATTTTGTTTGCCAGTGGAGTTCAAAATATATCGAAGTGTAGACTCAATAGTGTAATTAATCTATCTCCATCGGGTTTATTTAACTTTATTAAACTTTGTTTATAATCTTTATACTGCTTAACTATATTAATTAATTATACAATCTAGACCACTCATTTTCCATCTGATATATTTCATATGTCTATCACAGTCAAGTTGGACGGTAGCAAACACCAATTATAATGTAAAAGAAAAATTCCAGGCTACTAGATTCGTAAGTCCGGCCATCCAGATTGTGAGATAGCGAGATTAAAACTATTACTAGAATGATTATTGAGATAATAACCATCTGCAATAACGAGGTTAATCTTGTTGGACACCACAGTGAGGGCACCGTTGCCAACCCCTTTCTCCTTTTTCTCAACAAAACACCGCCAAACGAAAAAAAAGGATTGGCGGAGAAAAGATGAGAAAAAGGAGAAAGGGGTTGGCAACGGTGCCCTCACTGTGGTGTCCACACAAGATTTAACCTCGTTATTGCAGATGGTTATTATCTCAATAATCATTCTAGTAATAGTTTTAATCTCGCTATCTCACAATCTGGATGGCCGGACTTACGAATCTAGTAGCCTGGAATTTTTCTTTTACATTATAATTGGTGTTTGCTACCGTCCAACTTGACTGTGATAGACATATGAAATATATCAGATGGAAAATGAGTGGTCTAGATTGTATAATTAATTAATATAGTTAAGCAGTATAAAGATTATAAACAAAGTTTAATAAAGTTAAATAAACCCGATGGAGATAGATTAATTACACTATTGAGTCTACACTTCGATATATTTTGAACTCCACTGGCAAACAAAATCACTATCAAATACATTAGAGTAGAAACAGCACAAAAACAGGAAATCTAGCTATTCTGTTACAGTGAGAAGTATCCAGAACTGGAATATACTGGTCTGTTGTACTTCGTATTCAGATAAGTCCGGACTTCGCAGGGTGTTAATTAGTCAGCGTGTTCAAAGTATCTGTGCACCGATGTAATGGTGGAATATAACGGAACAGACAACCAAACAATAACATTAGAAGGATTCAATCATAAGGTATCCTAATTATTCGCACAAACGCCGGTATAACGGGGCAGCTAAATCCATATGCACCCCACAAGTCATTAAATTTGTGTGTGCACTGAGATACTATCTGGGTACGTAGACCGAACCAAGTGGTTTCTTAAAAGTCTGCTCCCTAAGCCCTTAACCTACATATCTAACCCACAAGTGAAGCAATGTTAAAGGATACACTCTTATGACAAACAGTCACCAAGACTAGGTTTTTATGCTATTTGATTCTTCCAACTCTAAAGGAATCCTCTTCATCCACAGAGCCGTTTTACGTGCCGTCCTTTTACTTTCGTTAACAGCACTCCGGTCATGAAAAAGCAGTAGCTAGAATTTTCCCAATCGTGGCTGCTATCTTGAATCGAGGTCTGAGGGCAAAGTCGTACTGTCGACCGTAGAGGGATGTAACAGCAGTAAGGTGTTTCTTTCGGACATTCAGCATCTGCAGCAGTGCTACCTTCTCACAACAGAGGGAAGAGTCTGAAAAAGGTCGACGTTGGAGATGTTACACCCCACCTTGGCCCACAAATTCCCGTCTTCGGCGACGAGGCCTTTTAAGGAGCGGAGCTACGCATTAACAAACTTCTCATAAGAAGATTGTGCGCGATCAGCCTCAAACATTTGTTCTTTAGGGTCTGGCAGCGCTTTCGGGTCACTAAGACCAACGACAACCTAACATCCTTCCACGGTATGGACAACCGAGACGTGACGTCCATCTCCGTACTCCTAACAGCGCACGAGTAGAACTTCTCTGCTACTGGCTATACACGCGTAGTCATGTGAGACAATCTCTAGAGGGATAACAAACTCCCCCACTCGGTCGTACTAGGACAATTGGGACTGAGCACAAATCAAACGGCAGCATTGTATTCTTGCGCTTAACAGTTGCATCCCCAGCCAAATATTGTATTCTAAGATGAGTATACAATTATGTGGATGTTGCAAGTTTGTGGTAAAGACCGTAATTTCCTCAATCATTTTCTAATCACTTGCGTTTGATTAATAAGTAGTGCTACTCCTAATAAACTTGTTTTTGGATGCCACTCGTGTCACTAATAAGTTTTCCAACCAAAAGTAAGAGCGCAACAAACCACAGATTAGAACCTTAAGCTTGTGGTAATAGTCAAACGTCTTACTTTATCATGTTGTAATTCGTTAAGGGAACTATCACGAAAAAAGCTAGTTCCCTACTGGACATGAATGCAAAGTTACTTTTTAAGTAAGCTTTTAGAAGACTTGTCTTTTAGCTAATCCTCTGCATAAATCTTTTCAAGATGTCTCAATTCTCTGTTGCAACCACCAGTATAATGTTTTAGTTGAGTGTATACAAACAATTTAGTAAAATAAAAACTTTCATATACTTCCCAGACTAGTAGTACACTATGTCGACGAAGATACTACACGCCTACTGGTAAGACAAAATCAGATGTCATTGCAATTATAAGTGTAACTACAAGCGGTAAACACCAAGTCTTACTCTATCCTAGAAAATGAAGTCTAGTCAATGTAAGGTACTGGTAGACTCAGGTGTAAGTTATGCATGTACCTATATGGTTGCAGAAAAGTTGTAGAAGTAGTTTCCTAGAGGTCTGAAAGTTGGAGTTAAATCAACAGTCTGAATATCATTTATAACTGATGATACAATCTGCATATGCTAACCACTTTTGAGAGTTTCTTAACAAAATAATCAATGTTCACCAATAAAATTTGTTTTTAATATTAAATCCACAAATTTCGCCACATATTCTCAGTAATCATCGCTAACTTACATCTCAGCAGCTAAGTCACGTTAATAATTCACGTAATATCCTATAATTGATAGACCACTTAAAACACAGATATAGTCAGGTTGATTGAGTTATATTTCAAAGCTGATATCAAAGCTGTCAAATGACTTAAGAGCTTTGTATATATATGTATTACTGGTAATGGAGAGGATTAGAGTTCCAAAATATTATTCAAGAAGTATAATTCAGTGAGATAAGATTAGAAAGCGAAAGGTAGAGGCGATGAATTCAGAAGATACGGATTAGAGAGAGCACAAATAGTGGATGTACCTGCGCAATCGCAAACGATTTTGAGTTGTGTCGGTCAAGGTCTCTAACCACCGATTACTAGCGTCTCGCAAACCCAAACCAGGTAGTCCACACCTACCGAAATGACTCACTCCATTTGTCAGTGACTTCGTGCATTTGTGCCGTGTTTTGGTTTGGCTGTCACCAGCTTCCTTTCAGTCCAACCCTACCTCGGACAACATCACCCGTCAAGGCAATCGGTGGTTAGGCATTCATAACACACGTTTCAACCACGTCAACTGATGAAGTTTGACTACCTCATTTATTGATCTGCCATCCTTACCTAGTACCCGTTTCCTAACAACAGCATTCCTTACTCGGTTGTCACAGGATACTCGGGTAATTCTTCGGAGACTCCTATGATCGAAAATCAGTAACCTACGAAAATCTTCTGCTCTGACTGGCCATGTTTCACAGCCCCAAAGTAGGACGGAGCGAACTGTCGTGCAGTAGACTCGTCCTTTGGTTAGCAGACAGACATCTCACCCACGCCATAAGTGACGCAAGTTGGCAAAAGCCAACCAAGCCTTCTCTATCCGTGCTGAGATTTCGTCAGTCACCAGGCCATCAGCACTGATGAGGCTATCTAGATAAGTGAAGCGGTCAACACGTTCAACTACTTCACTCTCTATCACCAGTTCAGGTGCCGACGCAAGTCAATCTTGAAGCCACATTTTGCGTTCCCAGGGGGGAAACCGCAACCCGAACATGCTTGCACTGTTGCTTAGGCCAGTCAGAAGACTGCATTTTGTCAGCATCTTCACAAAACGAAACTATATCATCGGCATATTCTAAGTCAATGAGCGAATTTCCTGATAGAAGGTCTACTCCTGAAAAGTCATGATGCAAGTGTCGCACCTATATGCCTGTGTCAATGAAAAAGTTAGGCAAGAATGGAGATAGTGGACAGGCCTGACGGACACCACTTGAAGTAGAGAATTCCGACGACATTTCGCCACGTTTTCTCACTCTACGTGTGGTGTTCGAGTAGAGACCCTGTGTTAGGTTAATGTACTTGTTTAGTACACCTTTTAATGACAGACACTGCCACAGAACCTCAAGATCGACAGAGTCAAATACCGCTTTAAGGTCAAGGAAAACAACTATTATCGGACGCCTAAACGCGTGTCTCTGTTCTAGGACCTGTCGTAGTGTGAATTTGTGGTCCATATATCCACGTCTAGGTCTGAAAGCAGCCTAGTTTTCTCGAGTCTACTCCTCACGAGTTTTAGTTAGGCGCCTGAGTATTATCCAAGCTAACAATTTAGAAACTATATTAATTTAACCTATTCCTCTGTGATTGTCGCAAAAGGACTTTTGTCCTTTTTAAAAATTGGGACAATCATCGATTGAGACCAGTCAGATGGGATTATGTCCAGTTCCCAAATTCTATCCTAAGATCTCAATCAATCTAACTGCTAAAACTGGGCCACCATCCTTATGTGGTGTCGCGGCTTAAACCTTTGCACTCGCATCTCACGTTTTATGACTGAGTTTGTCATAGTGAACAAACATTCTACGTAGTTACTGTTCGACAAATATATAAGTTACTAGTCAGTTCAATTGATTAGAAAATTTTTGATTTTTTATCTACCTGTTATGCACTTTGATCTTTAAACAGAAGTATATTTTTATCAGTTAGTGTTTAACAATCTTGTTTCAACTAAGTTTGTGAGGTTCTGATGTAGACCTAAGTATCCGAGAAACTGCATATGTTAAGTTTATTAATGATTGGTGTCTTTCCTTAGTAACAGTTGTTTTTTACGTTTAAGTAACGCACGTGTTTCGGTACGTGGGAGGAATTTCTTCTAATTAACGACAGATATATTCATCTGTTGTAGCGTTTCAGCACTATTTTCATACCTATATACATTGAGTTTTTATTTCCGAATTAGTGTAAATATGTCAACCCCAAGGACATATGAATCAATGAAGGAACTACTTGAATGTGCTAAATTGGATATGTCTTTCACATCAAACATATTTCAGTCAGTGAAATTCGATAACCCATTATTGTCTGACGAGTACAAATTGATTGAAGTCCCGAATTGGTTAGCGGATGAAGTGATGGACAAAATAAAAAGCCAAGTTATCACTTTAAAAGATGAACCTAAATCTAATAATACTGGGCGTGTATTTGCTTGTATAAGTGACAAAACGTTTTCTGTTATAGAAGCAGAAACATCTAATACACTACTTTTAGCCTCTAGTTGTTGGCTACCGTCATCCGATATCCCTAAAGAGAATTTAGTACTTGTTACACCAATTCAAGCTGTTAAACATAATTACTTTCAACTTCAACAGTGTTCAGCTCCATCTTTAAAACAGCTGAAGCTTTTGTTGGCTTCATCTATCTACTATGGTCCTACTGATGATGAATACGATTCAGAGAATAAAAGCTCCACTACCAGCTATTTTGATCGTGACACTGTTGCAACCCAACTGCCGTGCAGTAAACTGGAACTTGATGATGCGTTTCGACGGTTGCGTATATGTGAAATCAACGGGTACTTACGAATGCTTGATCCTGAATACATAACACAAGTATGTTATTACTTAAAAATAGACCACACTTCTTATTATAGGATTTTTGCTGACAAACCAACTTCACAGGCTTTACTACTTATGTAAAGCCTCAATACTTGGACTTTTCCACATAAGATTTTACTATTGTTAGTCATATATAAATGAAGTTTTCTTGTGGCGAGTGTGTCTGTTTTTGATTGTTTAAATAATGTTTATCTATATTTTTACCATCTGTCGTCCTTACAACGATACATTTTTTCAGTCATTTTTCCCGATATCTATTTCGTTTCCTGGTTTATGTAATTATTTGCTTTTCTGAAGGGCATCCTCTTTACATAAAGCTTTTCATTATGAGTACTAAGTTTATTGTTAATCAGATATATTAAAATAAGAGTAATTTTGGCAGTTAACTGAGTCCAGTAATAACTGTTAGGAATACATTTTTTTTGGGTGGGGGGAGGGTACTTGAGATTGAAAAGCTTTTATAAGTGTTGAGTCTCGGTAGCCAAGCTTAATCACTAAGACATGGACACTTGGTTGTTCAAATAGTTATACTTGGACTGAAGGATCTCAGATCAAAGACAAATCTGTTGTAAACAAAATACCGTGTATCCAGGTATACTTAGTTTATAAATTGCATTCACTGTTAATCATAGTTTGATGGTTTTGTCGGGAGTTTAGTTTAGCTTGATTTAATATCCTTAATTATTATTAAGACAATATAAATACGTGCGAAAATCTTGGCCAGTTTTAAGATACAACCAATGTATAACTTAGTATCACTTCACATGGGTTTAGTTACGTATTGAAACGCAGTTGACAAAACAGATATGAGTCCTTCCCTATACACGTCGGTTTGGGCAAATGCAGTGTCGATAGCGTACACACTAAAATTACTCATAACTAATTACATGAACCTGTACTAGGTTGTTGAGTTACTTTACTTTAATGAATTAAACTGGAGAGTTTATAATCTTTCCCCTTTTTCTCATAAATAGGTAATTAGAGATCTATTCGCCCTCGCTGATGAAAATGCATGGGATTGGCGTACCTATGGCTTCCCTTTACATGCCTCAATCGAAGGCTTGACCAATCAACATCTTCCAAATATTACCAAACAAATTATGATGTTACTTTTTTCCCAGTTAGAACATCGAAAAACACTTGATTCTAAAGATGTATACATTTACCCGAGGAATTCTAAAATTTGTCAAATAGTTGGAGAACATCTATTATCAGTTATTAGTAGCTTTGACCTAAATGACTTCCTAACATTGTGGAAAGCATCAGTTCCCAACGGATTACGACCGAAGCTTCGTCGTCATTTGACTTGTGCTGGACGTGCATATTGCGAAATAACTCCTCTACATCTAAATGGCAAAATCGGTAAACTAGAAAGTAATGACATCCGTTCTCGATTTCGATGTATTTCCCTGTTACGTTCTGAGGACTTACCCGATGAGAGTGTTGAAGCACGTCTTAATGCATTATTTGAAAGATGTTCCATGTGGCCTGAACCAGAAATAGGTAGTTTCATAACGGAATTATTACCCCCACAACCTCACAGGAAAAAATCTTCCTCTAAACACTTAGTTCCAGAAAAAAAAATTCAAGTAGATACGTTTTCTGATGTTTCTTATACTGATTCGGATTCGGACTTTACTTATGAAGATTACTGTTCAGAGTCAGCTGAAACTGTTTCAGCACTGGAAGATGTACCTATACCAACACCACCTGCTGTTTGTTCACTTCTTAACAAATTCTGTCGTGTTAATAATAGTCCAGTCGGACATGTATTAACTCAACGACATTCGAAGTAATAGTTACTTTCATATGTTACTGTGTACATGATCTTTATCCTTTAGATTATTTTGATGTTAAATTACTATTTTTGTAAATGCGATTTCGTCGAATAACTACTTATTTTTAATTATAGTACATTTATATATTATTTATGTATCAATACTGAGTTTAAAAAATCGGTCATTAGTTGTTTATTTGCTTTATGAAGACATATGGTGGGAAGTATATCGATGTATTTAGAAATCGAATCTAACCAGTATATCATTTTTCGGCAAACGAAGAAATAAATAAACTATAGGAAAAAACACTATTCAACCGATCATATATGTTTGTGCAGACATGTAACTCAAATATTGGTGTGCGTATTTAGGCAGTTAATCATAAACGACTAAATATGTAGCAAACAATTTTACCTCACTTCATATCAACACAGTGAACAGATATTATTTAGGAGATATAATAAAATGATACCAATAATAATCGGAGACTGAGCATCGGAAACATTAGTTTGAAAAGGATTAGTAAATCTGAAATATAAAAATTGTGCTATGATTTCTTGTTTAGGATTTAAATGAGGGTATAGGAAGAACTCATCTTTGTCAATTCAACTAATATAAAACCATATTTCCTATAGTCTCCGATTAAAGATTATTTCATGGACGTCAACTAAAAATTCTGCACCTCTTTATTTGACTCTGTCTAACAGTCACTTCACGCATTGATGATTTGGCTTGACCATCTCTAGTCTTCAGCATTTTCATATACCACCTAGCATAACTGTTCCAGGTAAGTGACTGTTGAGAATCCTTAGCAGGTCTCTTAATTAGTAGATTGATGTCGATATACGTTTACAAAAACGTGGCTTGATTCTACGTAAGCAATATCTTTGAGTAGATTTAATTTATGGTTTAAAGGTATTATGTATTACGCATAGCAAAATACAGTAATGTTTGTATTCCGACCGTAGCTACTACATTGACGAAGTGGTCGGGATCGCCTATCGTGATGACCCAACCGAGTTATATTGGCTGGAACGTGTTCAGGATGAAGTCGTACTGCTGGAGTGTAACTGCAGTAAGGTGTTTCCCTCAGGCAACCAGCATCTGCTGTGATGCTGCCCTCTCAAAAGGAAGGAAGGGGTTAGAAAAGGTTGACCCTTAAAATGTGACACCTTAGATCACGGATTTCCGTCCTCGGCGGTAGGGCCACATGAAGAGAGGAACTAACATTACCAACTTTTCTTGTGCCAAATAGGCCAGTAAAGTTCCTTAGCTAGGACTCTAGAATCCCGTATGATCGATGTACGCTGCGTCTCGCAAACGTGCACATAGGATCCGAGTAAAATAGTTAATTTGAATTCACCTTTTCCAGATAAAGAACCAACTCCATTTACGTTCCGTGTAACTGGAAGTCCTACTGCTTCTTCCTTTGAACCAGCTGTTGTCAGCATGGCATTGAGTCCTAGGGCAAAACTAGCTTTCTTAGACTAGATCCCAGTAGACAGTCGCTTGTGCGCTACCCGACTAAACTGGACAGAACGGACTCTTAAAGATAGGGGAACTCGTCGTTGTCTCCGTCGTATCTGCCTACAATCCCACTGAATGCAGCTCGGGCGAGGTAAAAAGTGAATTTTACGGAAAGCTTTCGGACCTTCAAAACGTCAGGCGCTCTGACATAATAATAGTGTAAAGGAAAGACATTAGTTGTTTTCCTTGACCTTAAAGCGGTATTTGACTCTGTCGATCTTGAGGTTCTGTGGCAGTGTCTGTCATTAAAAGGTGTGCCAAACAAGTACATTAACCTAACACAGGCTCTCTACTCGATCACCACACGTAGAGTGAGAAAACGTGGCGAAATGTCGTCGGAATTCTCTACTTCAAGTGGTGTCCGTCAGGCCTGTCCACTATCTCCATTCTTGCCTAACTTTTTCATTGACACAGGCATTTAGGTGCGACACTTGCATCATGACTTTTCAGGAGTAGACCTTCTATCAGGAAATTCGCTCATTGACTTAGAATATGCCGATGATATAGTTTCGTTTTGTGAAGATGCTGACAAAATGCAGTCTTCTGACTGGCCTAAGCAACAGTGCAAGCATGTTCGGGTTGCGGTTTCCCCCCTGGGAACGCAAAATGTGGCTTCAAGATTGACTTGCGTCGGCAGCTGAACTAGTGATAGGGAGTGAAGTAGTTGAACGTGTTGACCGCTTCACTTATCTAGATAGCCTAATCAGTGCTGATGGCCTGGTGACTGACGAAATCTCAGCACGGATAGAGAAGGCTTGGTTGGCTTTTGCCAACTTGCGTCACTTATGGCGTGGGTGAGATATCCGTCTGCTAACCAAAGGACGAGTCTACTGCACGACAGTTCGCTCCGTCCTACTTTGGGGCTGTGAAACATGGCCAGTCAGAGCAGAAGATTTTCGTAGGTTACTGATTTTCGATCATAGGAGTCTCCGAAGAATTACCCGAGTATCCTGTGACAACCGAGTAAGGAATGCTGTTGTTAGGAAACGGGTACTAGGTAAGGATGGCAGATCAATAAATGAGGTAGTCAAACTTCATCAGTTGACGTGGTTGAAACGTGTGTTATGAATGCCTAACCACCGATTGCCTTGACGGGTGATGTTGTCCGAGGTAGGGTTGGACTGAAAGGAAGCTGGTGACAGCCAAACCAAAACACGGCACAAATGCACGAAGTCACTGACAAATGGAGTGAGTCATTTCGGTAGGTGTGGACTACCTGGTTTGGGTTTGCGAGACGCTAGTAATCGGTGGTTAGAGACCTTGACCGACACAACTCAAAATCGTTTGCGATTGCGCAGGTGCATCCATTCATTGTCTCCTAAATCCTACCCTTCCGAATCCCTCATCACTCTATCTTTTTCTCTTTAAGTTTGTTGCGCTAGATTCTACTTCTTGAATAATAACTTCGAACTCTAATCCTCTTCAATTACCGCTAATACTTCTACTACTATGGGATTGGAATTGACTATTGCGTCTCTTTGCTAATGTGGCTTGGCAACTTGAGCTGATGTACGTACGTAAAAATTATACGTTCTCTTTGATTGGTTGAAAATAATATTAAGCTAAAATTGACTTATTTAATCGAGGATACACATTTAGTTACGTTCAATATGACGTTAAATTCATTATGATTTCTCAATTTTTTTCCACAAACGACTTTGTGTAATAATTTTAAGTTTGGCCTACTATACTGTCTGTGTTTGTTTTTAGTAGTTCTCTAAACTGGTATTACTACAATATATAAGATGGAGTAAAGTTCCAAGTTTGTATTGATCACTTAAGCCCAGTGTTAATTTATTTACAGCGTGAAATTACACACAAACAATTAAGCAAACCAATGAAATTAAGTCTGTGTTGAACCCTAATAAGGCTTTTCATTCCAAACTAATATATAAACAATGTAAACTTGAAAGCTAAGGAAAATAGGTGATAACCTAATCATTAAAATGCAACAAATATATCTTCATTTCATGTAAGTCGATTATTGGTACATAGATCATACAACTAATTACTTGAAATTAAAAAATCCTGTATTTTTTCATTCTATTGCCTTAAAGAAGAACACACTTTTCTACCTGGTCAGACGAGCTTTTAATATTATTCTCATTGCCCTGATTTATTGTTACCTATCAAATGAGTTGTTTTTAATGTGTATCAAAGTGTTACTTATACTTGTTTTCCTAAAATAGAGGAAAAAATTTCAAATTACTTTCTACAAGAAATTGAATTCGGAAATAACAACCTATGTTGCTCATGTCCATGCCAAGTCCTGTAGTTACCCTAGATTAGCAAATAATGTATGAGATTAACGTAAGAATGAAGGATCTGTACGGCACCTGGAGAACTATGGTCACCAACATTTACTGACATTTCTATCCTTCAACATTTAAAGAAACTGCATCAATCTATACTTATAACTTACATTTAATGCTTGAGTTATTAATCCATTTAGTGTTATATTCTTCATCAACACCGACTACTCCATAATTTCACCTTACAACCTCGAGATGTTAATCAATAGTATTCTGCTCTGTTAATTCTTCGTTACGATTAATTGTCAACGGTCGGATGAAATGACATTTGGTGATTCAATGAAGAAACTATGAGTTCCAATGAACTAGACGGTAGTTTGGAGTCCCATCCATAAATTTATTTAATGCTATTTTAACTATGCAAATTTTAAACATGCTAACTTATGATATATTTTGTCTGTTAACCTAGCCGTTCATATTCACCTTTATCAAACTGTTTGAACCAGGTGTATCTCATTATTTGCTCGAGATATTTTATTGATAATTTTCCATTCTATGGTGTATATTAAACTGTTGTCTTGAGTACCAAAAGTTAGTTTTCTAAAAGATTTATCATGTACTTACTCGTCTACTTATTACAATAACTAGAAAAAAAATTGGCAATAGTGTACATTGAGATATGCGTACGACGAAATAATTCGTGGCTTCTAGTTGACAAAGCTTCCCTCTACTGAAATTAAGTAACTTGATGTCTTTGATTTTTATAAAAAGATAACTGATTTACTTGACTAGTTGATATATTTTATGTTCATGTATTTGAAACAGTGTGTCATTTGAAACAGTGTGAACTTGTTTGGTGAAACCTCGTACTTTACACCAATGAATACACATTTCTTTACACTTAATTTTATTCCTTAATAAAATAAACTTACTTTTACTATAAACAAAGGCCTTAGGGGATTCCATTCCAATTTTTTACCTACACTTTTCCGTCTCATCTATTTCTACCCATAAAACGACTTGCCATTCTCGTTTAAGAACAGTATTTAGCCATTGCTGGTATTACAACTATCTGACGATGCATCACTTAATGTAATCGAAATCGCCCAATTGATTTTAGAACAAAGTTCATTTAAGGACATTTAGAATTGTGAATAAACTGTATAAATGCTAGTCAGCTAGAATCGCCATAGTGAATGATTCATTTTATTTTAAGTTCAATGAAAATAAAATTGTTGATTGAATGTGTTAGTTATTCATTGATACTGTTAGGCTGTTGACAGAGTTTATAAATGTGTTACAGTAGCTGTGAGTAGAAACTGAGTTACACATGTAGTCTGAATATTTTTATTGAGGAATATAAACTCGAAGGACAACCATAATAACCGATGAGATACCGTAAAAAACATTTCTCCAGTTTCGAAATAAGATGCTGATTATTTTTTTAATACATTACGTTTGTATCTATCATGAATAGTTGATAAAATAAAACTACATTTACAAAAGAAGCATTTTCTAATACTAGTCACTTGTAGTAAGTAGATCAATGCATAATAGACCATGAAATGCACGAAGTTTTTCGAATTACTATTTAGAAATTAATTCTAAAAGGGTATTTTAAAAGTTCAAAGAAAACACATTAGGTATCACGTAGATTAAATAGCCGCAAAGGTATTGGGTATGTTAATCAAATATATGAATAATAGTCATTATGATCAATTGTGGTGAGTTCTAAATTCATATAGTGATATTGGTTAAATGTTGCTCTTAAACTTGTGCATTTATTAATAGGTTTTTGTCTAGTTTTTTAATATTCATTCAACAATGGAATAAAAATGATGCTCAGATATTTCGCAACATATCAGTTTCTATTAAAAAGCGACTGGATAATTTAATCTCATCTTTAACAATAGAGGAAATTGTTAATCAAATGGCAAATGGTGGCGCAGGTCCAACATACGGTCCTGCACCAGCCATTCCTAGACTGCAGATCAAACCATATCAATGGCGTACAAATCCAAATCAAGGTCTTTGCACTTCATTTATGAGTCACATTAACCAAGCTGCCTCGTTTGATATACTGGATGTCTGGAAAATTGCTTTTGCAAATGGATTAGAAATGCGTGCTAAATGGAATATGTTTAGAAGGCAAAATAACTACCGTGTGGGTTGGTTTACATATTCATAAAATATCAATTATTTTTATATATCATATTTAAATGAATGTTTATGATACAAAAGTACTTGTGTGAATTACATTTAGTGCTGGCTAATATTGGATGAAATACTTGATAGGAGTTTTGTTGATGTTGAAACTTACTACTGTGTTGGATTTCTGAATAAACCTTGAACTCGTCATATCCTATTAATCATCACTAACAACTTTAAAAATCAACTTCATGAATTCAGTCTAACCAAAGAACAGTGAAGATTAATGTTTTGAGGTAAAATTTCTGTTAAAAATGCCTCGATCTGATTACTGAATCAGTTTATCAGTGTAAACTTTTGCTTACTGATGACTAGGTCTAAATTATTATCCATATTCATGACTAAATAAGAAACCAATCTAATTATCAATTACCTGAATATTGGTTAACTACCATAATATGAGATTATTTAGCTAATTTTGATTATTCTGCTTTAGCAGGTTGTAAAATTAGTAAAATTGATAGACGACCATTCAGTAAAATTGTTTAATTTACGATGAAGTGATAGATTTTAAATGAGAGAAGAATTTTATAGTATGCAATAAATGATAAAATAAATGCATATTTCTGGGTAGGAGAAAAACGTTCACTTCTCCTTCTTGTCACTATTTGTTCAGTTTGAACCTTCTCTGACTGTTAGAAACCTTTTACTACCAATAGTGATGCTTCACAGGATGGTTACATTTAGAAGACTTTTAGATAGCTCTCTTCTCTATGAAAAATGAAATAGTGTTTAAGTGGCTAAATAACGTACAAACAGTCTATAGCATCCTTTGAACTTTGAATAGTTTCAAATATGATTTTATTTTTGTCATATTAAAGGGAACAACTTTATAGTTATAAAATTAGTCCTTTGTGTTGTAGCTTAGATAGGCTTACAGGGGTCTAACATTAAAAAAATCCATTTAGGAGGAATTTATAATTCTGTATGGTTTGCTCATTACACGATTGAAATTTACTTTGTTTGCAGGCCTACTCTGCTTATCATTCATCGCAGATGTAAAGTGGTTTGTGGGAGAAGCGTATATTAAAAAGAAAAGACAAAACTAAAAACGATTCATCATTTCTCCGTTTCTTAGCGAATTAAATAAACTCTTAAAAATCTTGAAGGCTAGAGGAAAGAGGTGATTCTGTAATTCAATCCGTTGTATCTTGTGAGTAAAAGTGATCTCATGAAGGAATTCAAGAATTGTTATTTTTTTAATCGACGTATAATTTGTCATCTGCAGATGATGTATACTTGCTTAAAGGTACAAGACTTGTTAATTTCCTAATTATATGGCCATGAATTGATATTTTCTACTAATTTTTCAGGATAATACGGGAATAAACGTGTTCGCACCGACTGTTAATCTTCTTCGACATCCGCTTTGGGGAAGAAATAAGGAGACTTATGGGGAAGACCCATATTTAGCCGCTGAATTAGCTAAAGCATATGTTCATGGGATTGGTGGTTGGGATGCACCAGAAGTTGATGTAAACAAGTTTAAAATCTTGATGATTGAATATTTCACTTTAATTTTTATTAATGATAATTGATATTACCAAAACGAAATGAGAGTGTAAAATTTCTTTTGAGTTCCTCCAAATTGCAATTCATTCATATCAAGTCTGTTTTGAATTCTTGGCGTAATAAGCTTTTTGGCCTTCCTCTTTACCTTTAGTCTTTAGGATCCCAAGTGAGGGCTTGTCTTGAAACAATCAGGTTTTTTCCTCAATGTGTGTCCTATCCACATCCAGCGCTTCTTCCTGACTTCTTCCTCTGCTAGAATCTGGTCCATTCTCCTCCCGCAGTAGGTTCTTGCTGATGATATCTGGCCAATAGATCCTTAGTCTCTTGCGTAGAGAACTGTTAATCAACGTCTGTATCGGTCGGCTGATGGCTTTTTCAGTTTTTCAGGTTTCAGCTCTATGCAGTCAAACTATTTTGATATTTGTGTTGAAAATTCTGGGTTCGGTGTTCTCTGAAAGTTGTTTTGAGTTCCAGATTTTCTTCAGTTGAAAAAATGCTGGCCTTGCATTGCCAATCCGTGCTGTCCCAACTGCATCAGATCCATCTTGCTCATCAATACTAGATTTAATTTATTCTTTTTCTTTGTTCAAATCATGAATCAATCAACGTTTGACCAACATAAGAAACCTGGAAGCATTGGAAATCTGTTTCGTCCTGGTATGGGACTCATCAGCAATACACATTCATGGCTCCTGCACTTCGCATTGATCGATTCATGATTTCAACAAATTAACTCAATAGTCCCCACAACCGTATGATTCAGTTTCTATTTCTCACCACGAAAATCTGATAACCCGCACCGTTAAAGTTGTTCGCGAATATTTTTTGTTCAGTATTCGTTGTTATAAGATGGTCCAAGACAATTGATCGTAAGCTCTAGTATTTTAGTAGAACACAATTGGTAAAGAATTGTAGTGCTAGCATTTTATGCAGTTTGGTTGTTCAGTTTATTTAGTTTAATGTATGTTAATATTCTTAAGGAAACCTAGATATGATGGGTATTCTCTATTTTACTTTAAGGTGTTTATACCAATAAAGTCAAATGCTAGTTTTGAAGAAGAACATAAAACCAATCCTAAGGAAAAATAAGCATATGTTCCTACTGAATAGTTAAAATATCCAACCAGTTTGTTTCATTTGAAAAAATATGTTAACCTTTGTTTAAGGGAATTGTTATTTTGGAGTTTACTGATAACCATTGGCGCTTAAAATTAAAAGCAACAATAAAATAATGACTATAGATTTAGAAACTAGATTATTATAATCCCTCAGCTATAATTTATCAAAAAGTAAAATGGTCGAGAAACAAACATAAAATCAAGATACAGATCAAACAGGGATACAATCAAAATAAAGATGCAGACAAAAAACAGGTTAAAGGTCAATAACATTTTATTTAGATCGAGGTTAACAGAACAAGTTACGAGTCATACATGAAGAAATTCGCAAACTTCACTTCTATCTGAAGTTTGTGCTGATGGTGTTGTTTAGAAAGACAATGAAAGTTCTACAACTGAAACGTACAGTTCAGAGAACGGAACTCCACCATTATCAGAAAGTGGCCACATCTACTGTATGATATAATAATCATTAACTACAAATAATATCTTTTTAATGATCACTTCTAAGTATAAAGTCACTGAAAGTCTATTCAAATTCACTTTCATCTGAAACAAATGTAATGGTTAAAAAAGCATTCCTTTTCTGTTATTTGGGGAATAAATGAATAGCATTATTTTCGTTCTCTTGCTTATTGAAAAAACAAAGTAAACTTGCGCTTATATATATATATATATATATATATATATATATATATACATGTTTGAACAAGTTTGACCACAGAAACCGCTGTTTGCATGCAGGCTCTTTAATTTGCAATAGCTTTACTGACTGCTCGATCGAAGCTGCTACCTTGAGGTGGTGGTCGGGATTGCCAATCGTGATGACCTAACCGAGGTATATTGACTGGGACATATGTTCCTGAAGGTTCTAACATGCCAGGCAGATCGATTGGAGAACGATAAGACTAAAAGCAGCTACTCAAGGTCTGAGGGCGAAGTCGTGCTTCTGACTGCAGAGAGGTGTGACAGCAGTAAGGTGTGTCCCTCTGACGATCAGCATCTACAGCGATGCTGCCTTCTCACAAGGAAGGAAGGGGTAGAAAAGGTCGACCCTAAAAATGTCCCACCTCACCCTACGTCACGGATTTCCGTCTCCGGCGGTAAGGGCTGCCCAATAAGGGCTTTTAAGATGGGAGCTAATACTCAAAAAACCTTTCATAAAAAGTTCCTGCGTGACCGTCCTTAAGCAGTTTTCCGTTGGGCTCTGCGGTCACGCTCCCATGTCTCTAAGACCAACACTAATCTGTCTTCCTTTTCAGGTCCCTCAAGAAACTCCCTTCCACGGTGTGGGCAGCCGGGAAGTGACAATCGCCCTAATACCCGTAACATCAGGAGAGACCATATTGGTCGCAATCAAATCCTTTGTACATCTCCTAACATCTCTATTATCTCCACGACTAACTTAGGACGAGTGTACTGTGCAGCGATACTCTCTGTCCTACTATATGAATGCGAAACATGGCCATTAAGAGTAGAGCACGTTCGTAGGTTACTAGTCTTCGATTATCGGTGTCTCCGAAGCATTGCTCGTGTATCCTGGTACAACCGAGTAAGCAATGCTGTCGTTAGGAAACGAGTTCTAGGTAGGGATGGCAAATCAATAGATGAAGTAGTGAAACTTCATCAGTTGAGGTGTTTGGGACATGTGTTGCGTATGGCCAACCACCGACTGCCTCGACGAGCGATGTTTTGTGGTGTAGGAGTAGGTTGGAAGAAATCTAGGGGCGGCCAGACCAAAACATGGCATAAATGCATGAAGTCACTGGCAAATGGACTGAGTTATGTTGGTAGATGTAGACTACGTGTTTGGGGTCCGCGGGACGAAAGTCACCATTGGTTAGAGACCTTGAACGACATGGCTCAGAATCGTTTGCAGTGGCGCAGGTGCGTCCACTCTTTGTGTTGTCTATAATTCTAACCTGAATTCCTCATAATCTCTATCTTTCTCCTTCTAAATTTATCTTACTGAATTATACTTCTCGAATCATATGTTCGCTCCCTAATCTTCTCCATTGCTTCTAATAATTTTACTATCGCTATCACTCTTGGATTTGAAGTGACAGTTGAGTCTCTGATGATGTGGTATGTACTTATGTACGAAGTTCTGCGTTGTATCTGTCTATCTGTCTGGTTTTACTGACTATTAATTGAATGTTCTCCTGTGATCTTCAACAAAGATAATAAAATGCCTTTCATACGGTCTGAGTCACTGGATTTCGAAATGACAATAGTCAGCTTTGAGGTCTATGATTAAGATGAAAGTATACCCAGGCAGTACAACAGATACCGCAAGTTTGAAATCTCATTATAATAGTCTGTCAAACATTAATAGTATAGTTGACTGGCTGTTGATTATCATAATATTCGATACGTAGAATTCCGAATGTGTAACTCATCTTGTAGAGCACTGAATCCGAAAAATTGTTAAAATTCAACCTGTTTATTCTTAACTTATATGCTCATTTCTGTCAGGTACATTTACTAAGAACGAATCCTATTAAACAACATGTAATACTGGTTGGTGCAACTTGTAAACATTATGCTGCACATTCTGGACCAGAAAATTATCCTTCTTCAAGGTTATCTTTTGAGGCTGATGTCCCGGAACACGATATGTGGATGACATATTTTCCTGCTTTTCGTGCATGTATGGAAGCTGGAGCTGTTGGAGTTATGTGTGCCTATAGTGGAGTGAATGGCACACCAGCTTGTGTAAATCACTGGATGTTAGATACTGTGCTTCGAAAGCAATGGAAGTATCCAGGTTCGTGACAAAAAGGCGAACGTACATTAAAGCTATCGACATAATATTTTTTTCAAAAGAATAATATCTGATTCATCGTTCACCTGCACTCAAATGTGTGGTTTGACTACTTCGATGTGTATACTAATGAATTTGTAATTTCTAAGTTGCTAGACAAGCTGCAAACTATATAAAAAGATATTAGTAAGAATAATAGTAAGTTTTTAAAAGGAAGTTATATGAACACACCCTCACAAAAAATTTGTTCGATTTGTTAAGTAATCGGGATTGTTGCTCAAAGTAAACTTTGTGGGGAAGGATAAATAAAGATGTGAGGTATAAAATATCCGATTGATATTCAGTTGTATATTAGTGTGAAGTAAGACCAGCAGAAGGCATTTCTTTATGTACTGATATTATTTAGAGAAATAATGAAAACAAATCACCGGTGAATAGTAAATCACCATAGCCTTAGGTCCTCAGAAGACGTTTCAGGCAATAAATACAAACCTTTTCGGGTCCATAGCGAGTAAATATTTACGTACTCATATATACGTTATACTATTGTCTGTTCGTATAATACAGTTGTGGATAATTGGATTATCGGTGGTTTACATAATCTAGGAAATAGTTTTAGTTCCGGTACATGTAATTGGACAGAGACGATAAACTGAATTCGAAGAAAAATCCATATTGTAATCCTACAAGAATTAGTATTCTTTTTATAACCAGTCAATCATTTGTCATATGAAACCTAAAACCTAACCAGTTCTATTCCATCAGTTTCAGCCCTGGAGAAGTGATTTCTAACTTTCAGTTTAATTGATCGCTTCATCTTAAATATGCTTGTTTTTCTTGATTTTATAGGTTTCGTAGTTAGTGATGAAGGAGCTTTGCAGTTTTTGGTATCGAAGCATCATACTTATTCGACTTTATCAGCAGCTGCTTTAGCTTCAGTTAAAGCTGGTGTAAATATAGAAAATGCTCTACCTAATGCTGTTAATGTTTATTCAGAATTACTGAATCTTACAAAGTCTGGTAATGTAACTGAAGATGAATTACGAAATCTAGTTCGTCCTCTGTTTCTTGCTAGAATTTTAGAAGGTGAATTGAATTCTCCAGAAATGGATCCATACGCTCATTTGTTGCCCAATATGGTCAGTTTTTGTGGTGTTTTGACAAATCTATAAGGATTTTGTTTACTTATGGGAAATCACATGATTGAAAAACATAAATATAAAAAAGATACTCAAACACACTAAACTACAGTGAAATAAGTTAAGTACATCAAATAATGTGCGTGCATAAACCACTCAGTGATATATTTTCAAGTTTTCATGCCTATATTTTATTACTTCAGTAAAATTTAACGAAATGTTGTTGATAACAGTAACTAACAGCTTTCTAAAAGAAAAAAGAGGTTTACTCTGTTATCGAAACAGTTAACTTTTACTGAATGTATCCTAAGATGAAAAAATCAAATGTAAGTACAGCTAACAAGACTGCACTCTGGGTCACTTAGTTTCAGAAGGGTGTGCCTGAGAAGTTTATCAGCATGTTGAGGGTTCTGTATACAAACGTCTCAAAAGACTGGTGGCATACAATCATCTCTATCCTTTGTTCCATTCAAACAGTGAGTTAAGCGGGGTCACTGAATCTCACCATTCCGCTTCAACTTTGTCTTCGATGGCGTTCTAGAAAGAGCTCTGATGGAGTTAGGTAATTGTGACATGGATCTGTTACCAAGAGAAAAACTTTCGACTCCAAGAATGAGGATGACGTTGTCCTACGGTGTGATGAAAGTCAAACCATACAATCTGCACCTAACCAGTTTCTGTAGGTCTGATATGTGTTTTGTATCTTCCAAGTGCAAAGTAATTTAACAAGAATGACAAAAGCCCGCACTCACCTGACGCTCGTTGGTGAGCAGTTAAAAGTAGTTGGGAAGCTCGTGTATTTGGACAGTTGTGCAAGTGCTGGTGGTGACGTGAGTGGTGAGATCAGATAATGTGAATCGAAAGCTTTATCGGTCTATGACAATCTGAACCATTTTTGTCTGCGTTTTTGTGATGTTAATCTGGCTGTATGAGGTCGGGTCTACAACAAGTCGGAGAATGTAGTTTCTATGTTTGTGGAACCTAGTCTCTCTGGGTTGAGGATATTAAGCTACTGCCTGTGTTTGATCATCGTTGTCTAGAGAGGATTGCTCATATTCAGTGACTGAACCATGTTGGTAATGGGGAGGTATAGCAACGTTTTCGGGCACAGTGACGATAATTCAGTTAGGATCATCGACTTCTTTGACCGTAGCATGTATATTCCTTGGCAATCTCATTTTCTGTTTGTCTTATTTATTTTTTGGCGCCTTCTTATACCAATATTTATGCATGTAAATAATTAAATAGTGAGGTGAAATGATTCATTCTGTATTATCTCAGCCACCAAGCTGTATGATCCTTTCAGTTCTCTTATGATGCAATCGAATGCATATAGATTCGAATAATTTTATTTTAATTACATGAGACTATTTTAAAATTATAGTTATTTTAATAATATTGTTAGTTTTATTGGTGCTTTGTTTAGTATAAACATAACTCTTTCAATTTCCTTAGGTTATTGATAGTCCAAAACATAAATATTTGTCAATGGTTACTGCAGCCAAGTCAATGGTTCTTTTGAAAAACTCTGAAGAATTCCTTCCACTTAAAACGAATCTGGACCCAAATCAACACCTGGTGAAACACGTTGCGATACTTGGACCTTTTTCAAAAAATATCAGTGAACTGATTGGAAGCTATAATACACGAATTGACCCGGCCAAAACAGTCCCCCTAGATAAAGGTAAGCTAACATAATGATTACACCATTTTATAAAGTACGTCGTAGAATACTCTGTGTAAAGTGGTAACTTTCAAGCAAGAAGTTAGAGTTCCCCCATTAGTCTACCTACAGAATCGATCTTTGATGTAGGAAATGTGTAGTATCTAAGAGAAGTTACACAAATATGAAGTGAGAAATAGTTCTCAGTCAAAAAACATTATATCAGCAGGTGTTAGATTGAAGGGTACCTTTGCTAATAACAATCCATAATTTCTTAAATTTATGCATAGGATTCTGAAACTTACTTTCAACCAAATGAGTTGCTTTCTGGATAAGTGTCATAACTATATCCCAGTTCATCAAACTTTAGTCTTTGTAGTATATTTATGTGACCAGATTGTGAGCAACTCTTTGCAGTTCGCGATTATATTGTATCAGTATGAAAGTTTAAATGGTTGATCTATGTATATTATCACAAATTACATCAAGGATGTGTTAAATCTTGTCTGCTGGTGTTTTTGAATTAGTTATTTTAGATAAATATTTATATTAGAACATATTTAGTATTACTAAGAAGAACGGTTTCTATGGTATTCAATTGGTACTAGAAAAACTCTCATGATAACGTAGATTGTAGAGATTATTCTGCAGTTTGTATCTATATAAAGCGTTCTGTTAACACTGTTATCACAGGTCACTGAATTATATTTACCGTTGTTTTGTTTATCACGAATTTGTATGGTGCAATAATACTGACACTTTCCACTTTGTATTTCGTAGCTCTTGAAGAAATAAGTGACAATGTTACTGCTTCAGATATCTGCATTGATGGTGGAAAGTGTACCGTGTATGATGATTCAGCTATTCAAGAAATACTTTCTCAACCAGATATTGATCTTGTCATCATCACCGTCGGTACAGGACGAAATGTTGAAGATGAAGCACATGATAGACACAATCTGAATTTACCTGGACATCAGAATGAACTTTTACTAAGTGCATTAGATATGGCCGCAGGTCGGGGTGTAGTTAGGCGCCAGCCTATTCCTGTAGTTTTATTAGTCTTTACCTCTGGACCAATTGATATTGAGGCAGCAGTAGAAGATGAAAATGTATGTTACTCTGTGTGTTTCAATCAGTCAGTGGTTTTAAAGATTTAACATTTTAAATAAGGTCAAAATCATGGCATATTATAAGGAGAATCGGTTAGCTAATTCATTATATGTATATTATTGAACACTGTAGAATTAAACAACTGAACTTTCCCTATTAAAAATCATTTGTTTCCAATGAAAAAATCGATGAATGTTATTTAAATAATAATTAAGGTAGAATTTCATTCTAATATAGTATTATAAACTTTAAAGTTTGCTAATTATTAACTGCTCACATTCATTTGTTGGCAGCTTGATATTTGAGAGTAACTACATTGAAAATCACAATCCATATCTGCTAATAATGCTTGTAGCCGCTTTAGGATAAACGTATACTAAAAGAACTGATAAGTTGCAGTCCTGAACATCAATCGGACGATTCAAGCAACCAATACAAATGAATCATGTCGGATTACTTTCAGTTTCGTAATTAATTTGTTATTTTGACAGCAAGATAATGATTAGATCTGATAATGAACAGTGCTAAAAATAGAATCAAAATTAAAATATTTATTTCATGTTTCACTGATTTCGACAGTTCTTCGGATGATATCAGTTTTAACAAAATCCGTTGTTGAATAGATAATTTTACACGCAGTTTTTCACATCCACTGAAGCTTAAATAGTTTTTGAATACCCTGCATACAAATAAATTAAGTCTAGTTGACCGAAAAATTATGAATTCAGTTAATAAATGAGAAGGCGGAAAAAGTTGTGCATCAATCGATTACCTCTAACTGATTAATACAGCTATTGTCTATAAGCTTCTCCTTTGGTAGGAACAAATCAAGATCGATAAGAACTATGCATTCGAACTGCATTGACGTGCGTGATTACAGAGCTTTTTCTTTTTCCGAAAACTAATGCATCAAGTTTTCATCAACTGTTTGATGTTTAACATGAATAAAGATATTTATTCCCAAATAGTTTCAACCGTAAATCATCTATGGTGCTCTAAGTCGTCCTAGGTTAATGACGTAGTTTGTAGAAGCATTATTTCACTCTCTAGGTATATGGCTACTAGTTATAAGCAAGTAATCAATACAATCACATTGTTTTTATGTAAGTAATTCAGATGATTTCGTCTGATTTAAAATTTAAAATATAAGTTGATCAGGCTGCTTCACATCAGATAGCCCTTTAAATGTAACATTAAGTTTTAATTTTTATGACCATATTACGACATAAAAAATTTTGAATATTGTGACCTAAGGCACGCTTAGTTTTTGACATTTGGACTATGCGATTATTTCAGCTTAAAATTAGTTTTCATTTTGTGATACATGAGACACCCTTTTACTTTCTCAAGGTTAAATCCATATTTTGGTGTGGTTATATGAATGATATACTCGGTGAAGTAATAGTTCGTGTAATGATGGGAAATCCCGGTAAACCACTTGGACCATACTCACCGTTATTACAGCTGGATCCTGAATTATCTGAAATCGGTGCGTGGGGTACGGATGTGAATGCAGGTTATTGGTGGATACCAGCGGCCAGATTACCATTTACTTGGTATGCATCAATCGATCATTTGGCCAATATAACTACATATAAAATGACAAATCAAACCTATCGTTACTTGCCAAAATCTTGTACGAAAAAGCAAATTTCTTGTAAAATACCAATTTTGTATCCATTCGGCTACGGATTATCATATAATATGCTGTCTCCTTCACATAGTGGTATTCAATATTTAAAAATGGAGTTACCATTGTCTACAGTCAAGCCAAATCAGCCAATAACTGTTTATGCAGTGGTAGCTAACATAGGAGCTATTGCATGTGAAGAAGTAGTGCAAGTAAGTTTTATAATGTTTCAACTGTATCACTTGATATAGATTTAAATCAAACTATCCGTTTGTTTTTGTAGCTTGAAAGGAATTGTCTAATTGTCTGATTTTATTTTGTCACTTCTTTTGAATGGAAGGCACAAAACCTAATTGTTGGTGATTTACAAGAAAATAACATGTTTTTTTGAAGTTTATCGTTTCCGACTGCTTTAATTCTGATGATCAGAATGTTTAGACTCAACAGTGTATTCGTATGCAGTAAGATATTTATTACTGCGCTATAGAAATAGATGCATTCAGTGTAAATCACCGATTGATCGGTTGCAGTTATCGCCGTATATATATATATTGATTGCATTTATTCCTTTCACCTGTTTGTTCGGTTTCGATCACAACTGCTAACAAGAATGCCATCAATAAGATGAAGGTTTCTCTCAGTTTATTGTTATTAAAAGTGGTTTATTTTGACGTAGACAATATTGAGTTATTGGGTTAATTACAAAAAATATCAGTTTGGACTTCAAATCAGATCAACGATGATGGGAAGGCGAACATAGCTGTTCCGAAGACAAATATTTCTAAAAATCAATTTAGTTCCTATCTAAGCACCAGACCAAGATCACTTCTCAGCGGCCAACTCATTCTAGTTGTCGAGAAAATTTGGAAAGTATCTAAGTATCTGAAGATCTGGCAATGTTCAACGGTTTCCCCGCTAAGAGATATGTTCAATGATCGATTAAAGGTAGAGTTCTAAGCAGTCGATCTCCTATTTCATACTATTTGCTGACAAACAAATGATAAAACTGCTGCTTTCTGAATTAGCGAAGAAAAATTTCATGTTATTGATTAAATGTTTTTACTATGGATATAAAATACTAAGTACCAACTTCATTCATATAACAGGTAAAATATGTCATTTATCAAGTATTATTTTATTTCTGCAACTAAAACTTACATTTCTATGGAACAATAATAAGAAGGAGTTGCTTTAAACTGTAACTTAGCCGCTGTCGTTTGATTCCTCAAACCGTTTATGAGATTCTAAATTCCGAGAGGAAAGATTACTGCTCTAAGTTGTTATAAATTTCCGCAGTTTCTAATCGAAAAATATGTCATCCAATTTCACCTACATTATTTATAGGACTAGATTTGCATAAATGCCTTTGTATTGTATTGTTTTTCTAACAACTAGTTTCATTGTACTTTACAACTGTTACATTCTACCTTGTTGACACTTACTGTGTTGTTTTTAGACTGTGTATACATATTTGGATCTGTTTCTCATTTATACATTTATTCTATGAACTTTCGGAACAATAGATCGTTAAAGTTATCTTGGTTTGTTTATTCTGAATTTAGAATTCGTCTCCATACAATGAACAAAACAAAACACTAACCAAAATCACTGATTTCTCATATTATTGAACTATAATATGATACCAATTCAAACACAACTGTTATTATGATTGTTATCATTATTATTAGTATTATTATTATTCAACTAGTCACAGGTACACATAAACATAATTTCTATATGATTAATTGGTGTGAAATGAATTTTTTTTTAAAGGAAGATCGAGTTTATAGAATATGTTTAAAGTGTTCTGATCGATAAGAACGATCGAGTATGATATCAAACTGTGTATATATTTCCTGCAATTAATTTAATATTGTACTGCTTAAACGACAAATCAATAAGTGATGTAAATGTTGTTTGTAAAAAATTATCCAATAGATCAATCATCTCATCTCAATTATCTTATTATTTTTATATCACACAGATCTAATACACTTCGTTTTTACTCATTGCGTCATCTAAATCTGACGGACGGATTAACTGTTAGAATTTTTATTAATTTTTAAAGCTGGCAATTATTGGGCAAAGTTTAGCACCCCTGTGTAATCGTTTTCATTTTTACTTGTACTTGAGCATTCACTTTCCGACATTGGCGGAGAATTCAGATGCTTAAGTAATAAAGATGCTTCAAACTGTTTAAGAACAACAGAATTCGTCTGAATCGTCAACTTTGAAAGTTTATTCATCACAAATTCAGACAATTCTTTTGCATAGTCTTCATTTTTAGGTAAGCAAAAACATAAATTATTTTAAAATAATACTATTTTATGCGTTTTTTACCGCGTCACTTTTTTAGGTTTATATCCAATGGGTAAATTGTGGGCAAACTGATATATTTAACGAAGATCAATGGGAATGCACTACACCTAATATCCAGTTGGCTGGTTTTAAACGTATTCGACTTACTGTCGGTGAAAAGAAAAATCTTCACTTCCAAATATCAGCAGATCAGTTAAACGTGTGGTCCAACCAAAATAAAACTATGGTTCCTGGTCAAGGCACTCTTCGCATCACCGTTGGAGGACAGCAACCTGATCAACCGGTTACAGTTGGATCCAACCTTTTGATTGGTGTAGTTAAAATAAATCACAAAAAACGGTCATATGGTTAAAAATGGCGTAATACGTGAAAAGAATGGATAAGTTTACAATAAATTAATATTGTTCTGTATGCTAGACTCAATGCTTAAAGACATATTAAAAAATATTATTTTTATATATTTCGTTTGAATCTAGTAAATTTTTCTGCTCTCCATTTAGTCACTTTGACTACAAGAATTCGAATGCTAACTCTTCATAAACTTAAGATTTTATGGTACTCTTCAAAGTGATATCGCTCCATAGTTTATATTTCGTGTTTTTGAAAAAGCTGATAAACAAAAGACGTAAGATGTAAGCTCTTGTCGATCATCTGAAGTTATAATCACTGTTAAACAGATAACGGATGTTATTATTTGGAAGTTTTGACTGTGGAGTTAATTTGTTTGTAATGATGAAACCTAATTTGCAGTCCAACTCCTTTAGCATCTATCATTCGAAAAGCTTTTTTAGTAGAAATCCTATCAAAATCAAAAACACTATTTAGAAGTAAATCAAAGTTGCGAACTACATGCTTTGAAAAAGTGTCGTAATGAGTCATCTAAAAGACAAGTCCTATTTACGAATACCTCTTGTGATAACTATGGGTGGTTTCTTCGAGACCTTGAATTATCACATCTAGAAAGAAATTTAAGACTAAATCGGCATTAAAATAAATACATAAAATTTGTTTTGTACCCAGTGTTCTGTTGTTAGTGCTTAGGGATATAATACAAGACAAGCTAATCGGTCATTTTTCTTGAACACAGAAGTTCTGCGCATCGATAATGTAAGGCACTTCATTAGTTTCTTCTAAACTACCAATAAAACATCCCTTTCATAGTTTCAGCGGCCTATAAATCCAGATTCTTCACAAACCAACTGCATACGCAATCCAGTTACCAAATATCAAACATGTTTTTACCCATCTCTTGGAAATTTCGCAAATTTAAATTTATCTCACTGAAAAATCACTAATTCATTTCACATTTTTAGAAAATTCACATTGTTTGAATTCGTAAAGTTATAAGTTTATATAAGTTTAACCAGTAAAGTAACTAATTAGTACTACTCTAAAAATTTCTTTTTGAATTTATTAAAGTATGAGAAAAAGTGCCCTAACTAGAGAGTGTTCACAACAGTTAGTTTACTTATGAGACTCGTATCGTCGGTAGTTGTCAACCTCTATCTATCACTGAAAGTGTCCTGAAATATACGTAAAATCTTCAGCACTTAAAGCAAGTTAATTTTCTACACTGATATTTTGTATTGATTATGGTTGTAAAAATAACACGACGTTTTCGTCGAGAAAAGTTGTCTGTGGTGGTGTTTCGTTCTCTGAGCTGGTTGTTTTGGTTGTGGAGCTTTCACTGTTCTTCTGAACAACATCATCAGCACAAACTTCAGATAGAAGTGAAGCATTTGAATTTCTCCACGTTTGACCTGTAGCTTGTTCTGCTAACCTCGACCTTGATTGTTTGTTGTTGCCCTTTGACCTGTCGTTGTTTGCAACGATGTTTTGATTGCCTCCCTCTTTTGATCTGTTTCTTGATCCAGTGTCACCTATGATTTTCCTGATTGGTTGATAAATTGGGTCAATGTCGATGTGTTTGTTGATTGCTAATTGACCTGAGTGCTAAGCTTCTAAAAATTCTTTCCAGTATTTCCACGTTGTTCCAATCAAATGTGTGTCCATAATTGTCGGTGTGTATTGATATAAGCGTTGTCGTGGCGTTTGACTGCTAATTGATGTTCACGTAAACGGAGCTGAAGAGGTCGTCCACTTTGTCCTATGTAGTGTTTTTCACAGTTTGAGCAATTTATTTTGTAGATGATATTTGGTTTTTCTTCCTTTGTCGTTTTGTCCTTTGGTCTACATAGGATTGACTGAAGTGATTCTGTTGGTTTGTGTGCCACACCTATTCCAAATGGTTTCAGTAGTCGTGCCATATGCTCCGATATGTCTTTGATGTATGGCAGGATGATGCGTTTATTTGTTCCTGTGATTGATTTCACTTCTGATGATGGTTTCGATTGATGTTTTTTGATGAAGTTGCGTGGATAGCCGTTCTTTTGGAAGATAATCATCAGGTGTTTTTCCTCGTTTTTTAATGCTTCGTATGTGCTGCAGTGTGTCTTCGCTCTCTTGAACAAAGTTTGTATGCAGTTGATCTTGTGGGTTCTTGGGTTGTTGCTGTCGTAGTTGAGAATTACGTCTGTGTGGGTTGACCTTCGAAATACTTGAGTTTCCAGTTTTCCGGTGTTGGTTCTGGTGATTAGTACATCCAGGAATGATAGGCTGTTATTAGATTACTTTTCCATCGTGAATTTGATGTCATCAAAGACGTTGTTGATCTGATTGTAGATGTTCTCCAGCTCATTCCTTTTGATAATAACGAATGTGTCGTCTACATAGCGAACCCACATTTTTGGCTTGATCACTGGCAGAATCGACGCTTCCAGTCTCTGCATTACCGCTTCGGCGATGAGTCCTGATATTGAGACTGTAAATGGAATACTACACTAAACATTTATATTCTTCTATTTATCGTTCGTCACTATTAGTGATACCTCTAAATAATTGATGCTGAGATTAGTGTAGAAATTTTGGATTCGACAGTAAGTTATGAAGATGGTTTCAGGCGAGTTGTTTACTTTCTGTTCCATTCGTTTCGTTTTGGCTGTAATTCAGAGTTGCTCACTGATAGCTATTAGTTAAAAGAGTTTATATTACCCAGTTCTTCTACTGATTCATTCATAATCTCTGGGACGACTTAATGAATAAGTAGCATTTAGAATTTAATGAGCATGTTCATTTGAAAATTACACGTTCTCGGTCGTGAAATTACTTCCGAACTTTCAATGTGTATATCACATAACGTCGTAGTATTGTAAATTGAATCACAATAGTTGTCTTAAGTAAATAAGCGAATTGTGTATAACAAACAGCTTTTTCCAGGTATTCAGTCTGGTTTTCAAAACAGCGAAGATTTTCACATTTATAAAATAAACAGCACTATCGATCTCATTTATATTTACAACTTAATATGTCTGAGGTTTCTAAATAGTTGTATAATTCAAATACACGTGTAATCATTTTTATGCTACTGTAATAAACCAAAAAAGAAAGCAGTGTTCACAAAACATCACTCATCTTAAATAATTAAAATGTCGAAATTCTGCCATTTACTTCATACTGTTTTTTTTTTTATAGTGAAAATGATGTTGAGGTAAGAATGAGAAAAAATGTGCTTAGATTGACATAAAATATAAGGGTATTCATGAAATATAAGATAGATATTTTCTTAGGTTCTTCTACTAAACATGTAACACTGAATTCAGACTAACAGTGGCTAGTGATGGCATTAATTTCAAATGGTTCATTTTCTAAAGTTTAAAAAAAGTTTGAGAACAAAACTCGTTAGCTAGCAGAAAAATCGAAATCATAACTGATGCTTAAAAATCTTGAATTGTTTACATTGATAGATAATTAGAGATGTAGCAGCTAATCAATTCAACTACGATTGTTTCGAATCTGTCAAATAAATGAAGTATATTTGAAAGACTTATGCTAAGAAAGTGTTAGGTTCCAATAAGAATTTTAAAACACATAGATGGTTAATTCTGTTATGCGAAACATTTTACTACCCTTTTTTAGTTTTGATTCATATTAATTTCAAACAGTTTCCAATTTTCAATGAATCCTGGTTGTGGTATTGTAGGGTAACTTGAACATTCTTTTTTTTTCAATACACTGTTTACCTAGCTAGATTTTCATCTCATCATTCAAATGGACAAAATAAGAGTAGGACCTACTGATCAGTTAGGTTTATAAAATATCTGTTTATTCTGAATAATAAATTTTAAGCTTATCTCAACCTTCAGAAGTGTATATTCAGAATATATCTCTTCGCTATGCTGACCTATCCTAGTTACGGGACTAGTGCTTACGGAAAAACTACGTTTAGGTCTAGTGGTTATCACCGTTTATTACCGGTTAATAGAAGGTAATTAACCTTATGTTGACAATCTAAGCGAGATTAATTATTCTCAGAATAAATTACGCAACTGGTTCAACAGTTAGAGCCGGACTAAACGAGCGCCAGTATCACAAGAAATCCGGTTCGTTTTGGCATCACACTACGAAGACGAGGATTTCAAGTTAGTCATACAATATGCTCACAAATTGAGTAATCCAGTCAGTGATAATTTGGTCTCGGTTATTGGTTTATAGGTATAATTACCAAGGTTCGACTTCATAATTTCGAATAAATTAAACGTTTGGTGGATATTTATAGTATCCCAAAGAGTAGAAAAAGTAAAATTATCTTGACATTTTGTCACTTAAATGGAAACCACTCCTTCAGAGTATAATTAAATAAATGAATTAAATTAATCCAAGTTTAATTAGTGCGAAGCATTAAAGGAAAAATATTTCGCACAGTCAAATCAATGTCATGCCACTCGGGTCAAGTTGGTTCATTTGAGATATGCTTGTGTGTTTGTGTTTTAATGGACGTGAAAAATGTGATAGTTTTAATGTGAAAGGATAGATTTAAATTTCCATGAATAATAAAAGTGGAAGGTATGAAAAGTGATCTTCAAAGCGTTCCATCCACATGTTACTCTACTTTTGACTTCTCGGTGATCGTTCCGGTTAATCATACTTTCTGGTTAGTTTTTTTCTGTTATATCCTACGGTTGTCTCATGTTTCCTTCTCTTATGGCGTTTTCAGCTGACATTATTTGGTCTTCCACATATTTCCGTTTATCAACTTCAGTACTCCCTTCACGTACTAGTTTGCTTCTGTGCATTCGGTCTGTGCTTTGGCTTTTTCTGCTCTTGCTTGGTTGTTACTAGTTTCTCGCTCCTTGTTCTTCAATTCTTGAATCTTGTTCAGTGTCAACGGAGATCCATTCTTTATGATTGTGCTTTATGTAGCCCAAAACCTCATGACCTGTTGAAGTTATTTAGTTCTGAACACTTATACACATTATTCGTATTCGTTTAACTGTTATTCAGTCCATACCAAAGTACATTCTACATCACACCAAAACACAAATTGTTAATAAATGTTGTTATTTTAAATCTTTGTGTTCTAAAACGACAAGAGTATCAGGAAGGTATTGATAGCAAATAGAGGATCATGTTCTTAGACAATTGCTCCTATTTTATCAAGATTATTTTTAAAAACTGAAAATCAAGTGAAAAGAGCATATAAGAATTCTTAAAAACATTTGATCAAGTACTTGTGTAAATTGTTCAATGAAAATTCGTTTTCACATTGTATTCTGTCATAATTTCCTTAAGTATAACTCCAGTGATTAGAGATTTTAGTTTATAACAACCTCCAAGTCATTTCGTAAATAGGCAGCGTAATAGCTGCATTATTAGAACTCCACCATTTTTTACTCCCAAGTCCAGGATGAGAAAGGAGGAGGGTATTGTAGGGAATCAACAGCTCAACACATAAAACAGTTTGCTCAAAAAATTTTGAGAAACTGAACTTTTATTAGCGTAATTCCGTTTACCACTAACCAATCGGAGATGCAATGCACCATTTTTCAAACTCCTAAGATATTTTCTCGTCATGTTATTGAACCTGTGAATCTTCTACGATACATTAAATCGAATGTTTATCGGACATTTCGTTACTAGGTGATCAGAGGACAGTCTCATTCTATCCATCATTCAACACTAACACAATTTATGTCATTAAACCAGACATTAGTGAATTACCATTGCAGCTGGCCATATTTTGTTTTGAAAGCTTATATTTAATAAACTATATAACCTAGATCTGTTTTTTCTAATATGTAAATATTTTTGAAACAATGTAATTTGTTGACTTCAAAAACACAGTGCCACTGAACAGTTCATATAGATTTTGCCATGCATCATATTATACAGTGTCTAAAAATTAAAAGATAAGATAAGCGAAGAAATATTTCTTCTCAATTAGTTGTTCATCATTGCTCCACACTAATATTTACGCTCTAAGAATGAATAGAAATTAATTACTAATTGGGTGGTTGTGAGACTGTTTAACGATATAATTATTTAGTTATATAAAGCTTGTAAGATTATAATTAAGACTACGTTAAACTTTCATTGTCAGATAATCAATGCAAATTAGGATGAATATATATGTTTTGTTATCCATGAGATAGTAAGAAATGGTAAGTTTATTAATCTGGTTGTTAAGATCAGAACTGGAGATTGAAATGCTAACAAGTTGAATTTCGGACAAGTTTCAAGGAAAGGAAAAATAAGTTTCGAAACACGTAATGGTATCTATGTCGAAAGCTAAAGTAGATACAGAGGCTGTACAAATTTTTGCTATATACAAAGATCCATTTTATTGATGTTTATTCCTATGGTTTTTGATGTCTATGAAAATCCGATTCTAGGTATATGAAGAAAAACTGTCACGGCAGGTACAAAACAAATAAGTGTACGCCTCTGTTGTTCTGTTAAAGAGACTGGTTATTCGTCCGAAATCCATATATAGTAACTGACAGGAACAAATTATTTTACGTCAGTCGTTTACTTGACATGATATGACGTAGTAAAATACAGCCATATTTACTTGCTGAACCTTAGTTCCTATAGTGCAGCTAAATTTACTGCACGTCTTCTATTTATGTTACTTCGGTTTAGCTCTATAGGCTTCTAATATCAGTCTTTAATTGTAAGCACCAAACTGTTTTTGGAGCACTTTTGTTCCGTCGGAGTCAATTAATTGTCTAATTACTACCGAATTTAGTACTGACTTGTTTCCAGTTTCTCGAGGTGTATTCAAACTTCAGAATTACGGTTCAGCTAAATATTCAGCTTCTTTATCTTCATATTAAACTATCGTGATGTCTCAAGGACTTGATGTGCAACTAGTGTGAAACTGCTTGGTAAAATCATAATAAATGACTGCATGAGACAAATACAACTGTTTCTTTTCGAACTACTAGACTGCTACTTCTTATTCAGCCAAATGTGTATTAAGACGAAAGTGAAAACATCACCATCTAGTGAGAATAGTAGTTTCTCATTCATTCATAAAACAGTTTAGCATGACACGAGAAACTAAGTGAATTTGTGTTTGAACACATCTAGTACTCTTCAAAGGCTCACTTGCAACAGTTTTATTTTATGTGAATTTATCAAAAAAAAAAACAGTTATTTCACAAGGAGACCATCCTCAATGATAAATAACATGACATTTTTGAAGATCAGTGGTCTTGCAGAAATAAACCACGATATATTCCAGTAAAAATATTCTATAATTCAGGCTTCAACATCGCAATAGGAAAATTGAAAATCCCGATAACGACATGTAGTGAGTTTACAAGCCAGTTTAGAAAACCGTATCACATGTATGTCCACTTATGTGTTGTAAATTCACGTTAAATCGTGAAAGTATTCGAAAAACATAGTTTTCTTGATCAAAATCCTGGAGTTCGTTTTTTTATTACTGTAACGCCTTACCATGATCGAAGGATAAACTTATTGCGATTAATACTTTCGGAATTGAAAATATTTATTAATATCCATCCCGTTAAGAAGAAATTGGCTAATTCTGAAGGAAGTACACTGAAATTCTGCAGTTATACTGATTGCTTGTGAATCGATTGTTGCTATTGTTTACGAATAGTTATTTCTTGGAAAAAAGAAAATACTTTTCTAGATGTTTATTAGTTTATCATTATCTCTGTTATATACTTAACATCACAATAATGAATTTATAAATTCTGAATTGTGTGAAGCTTGATTAAATTACTTCACTATGTTCTCTGAAATACATGAATTGCTTGAATTCGACTAGCAAAGAAGTGAAATTCAAATGTTTGGATATATAATAAAGCTACAAATTTAATGTTACAGAAAACTCACTCTAAACATTATCTACCACAAAAAAAAATGATCAGTATTTACAAGAGATTGATTGTATTAAAACTGATCAGTTACATTGAGTGAATTCTCAATAAACAGCTTCATTTCCAAATAATTAAATTTCTAGTAGAATCTAAACAAACAATTTCCTTTCTCACAAAATCCTACGAAACAAAGATCTAGTGTGGTGGAGGAGAACACAGGTGAGGGCAACCGAATTGTATTTATCTCAAATTACAGAGTTAATTGGTAAAATAGGAAAACCATATCGTAAATCGTTAATTTGCAAAATATCAATCCATCATATCGAACTGGACTGTTCCTGTTGCAAAACATCAATCCATTGTCTGAAATTTCACTGTTCATGCGTTTCATACAAATCCGATTGTGTTCCCGCTCTTCCTTTCGTGATCTTCCCCCATCTTCTGCTGCCAGACATTACGTTTTTACTCGCGTCATATACTACTTACAAGTAGCGCGCATCACACTAGTAGGACTTAAAATTGTAGCAATTTCACATTCTTTTACTTATCATTTGTCAACTAAGTAATTCATTGACCGTTAAGCTACAGTTTTTTTCGAGACATAACCTTCATATAAAACATTCTAACTGGTTGTTATATTGTTTGGTTTCATTGATCTTTGTTGCTTCTTTCATAAACAGATAAAAAGAAGCTTTCCACTTAGATTTGTTGTAAATTAATCTTGCTGGCAATGTGTTCACTTACAAACAACTATAATTGTATTCTTTGTGTAGTTGGCGGGATTATTATTCAATGTACTTACGGATACTTTTATACAATCGGTACAGTTCATGTACATTAATATTTTAATAAACTAACTGTTTGCATTACATAGGTAATATGGCCCCATATATTTTGGATTATTTGAAATACAATAATAAATCAGTTTATGATAATTCTATCATGTGGTTGACATCTGTTGCTTTGGGAATGGAAGCGTTAGCTATGCCGATTGGAGGAGCATTGTACCGTAAATTAGGAATCAGAGCAGTGGTGGTAATTAGCAGTTTAATTCACAGGTTAGCGGAAACATTTTTCTGGGTTTGTTTTTTTTATTATTTTGTTTATTAGTATGTTTGCTCTAAATGAAATAAGAATTATTTCTGAAAAATATTTGATATTTAAGGACCATAACACTTAAGCAACTATATATATATATATATATATATATATATATATATATATATATATATATATATATATATATATATATATATAGCCTCTGCTGATAATTGGAATATTCAGCTATGTCCTCCCAAAGTGTCTATCAGAGTTCGTTTGTTAAAGGCTCTATAATCTGATAGTCTGATTTCTTCATTCTTTATTGGGACAATGTGCAACGGGGATGCCGAGGGACTGCTAGACAGCCTCTTGATACCAAGTTTCATCAATCTGGCGAACTATTGTTTTGCCATTTTGAACCTTTTTGGTCCAGCTTTCATGAACTTGTGTTAACTGTTAAACCATTCGTTACAATGTGGAGCTGAACTGTATGCTTAAGATCAGTTCGGTCGTGTGATACCTAAATTGGCCTACTCGTTTAGAAGCCACTTATATGGAACGCTTTTGTTTCTTGACACTACGAAGTTAATAGATACTTGGTCGGTGATTAATTAATTTATCACCACTTTACGGTCTCCGTTCAAGAACTGGTTTCATGGGGAATCTGCTAATAATTCGAATCTCTTTGAGAAATCAGTACCGATTATAGGCACCACTACCACCTAAATGAAATGTTTCGACAGAAAATCAAGGTAAACTCTCTTTTCCCATATTTTTTCACGTCAGATTTATTTGATGCTTTAAGCGTCAGTACAGTATTAGTGTTTCTCCCTTCATCGCTCAGGTGAGGCAAGATACGTATTTCTGCTACTGTGTCCACTAAAAATGGAGCACCCGTCGTCCAGCCCTGAAAGTAACATAAACAACTGTTGCTAAGTGCTTCGCTAGCTGTTACGGTCGTTGCCGACAACCAGCGAAACCGTTTGCTCGTTGTATACATCTAAATCGGCATGGCGGTCTACATTTACCAGCTCTGTTGCCATGCGTCTGATGACAACAGCATACCGTGGGAGCTGAGCGTCTCGTAAAGTATGATCTGTCTCTGTCACTCGAATAAATTTGTGACCATCTTTTTGGTCTGTCGTTCTGAGTTAGCTCTCGTCAGCTTGTAGCATAAAACACTAATCTGTCTTTGTAGAGCATCGATCTTATCGTCCACCGTGTTATAAAGCAGATGCACACTTGTCTGTTTCGTTGTTTCACATATCTCATCAGCTGTTTTCGCGATGTTATTTGTGTGCGTCCTAATTCTCCAAAGATCCGCTGAAAATCATAGGGGAGCCGACGGAACCATTACTTGTAAAATATTCTACTACATACTTTTCTCTACCCTACTAGGCTTCTCATGTAACTGTTTAAATGCGATGGAGTCCCATCTCTTATTTGCAGTTGACTGAGAAGCCGATCAAAGGCTTTTATTACAACGTGCTTCAATGCATCGTATGGTTTTTACGTATTCAGCTTATTTAGAACCTCTAGCATGTTATCTGCTACTGAGCTTGCGTGGCCAAAGTTGTATCATTGTGGTTGTGTGTAATTTTCAAGTCTAATAAATTAAAGTTTTCGGTTGGTGCCACTAAAAGTAGGAATGCAGCGATAAGTGGGACCTCACGGACGGCGTTTGTTGGAGAATTAATTTGCCGTTATCCAAAGACATCTTTATATGCAATGAGTTGCACACGAATAAATTAACTTATAACTAGGGAAAGGAGACTAGATAGACAGTACTAATAATCATAACAAATGATACAATTTTGTAACAAGGGATAGACTAAACAAACCGAACCAGTATAAAAATTGAATGTAAAAAGTCGTAGTTTTTAATGGTGAATATTGTCAATATATGTTCAACAATGTTTACGAAGTAATTTACGTGTAATGAAAACATGATAATAATAACAACCTACAGTAATTAAGACGAAGCAAATTGATTTTCGTATTTTGATTAAATCGTAGAAAGCTGCGTTGTGCTCGTTAGTCGAGCTCACCAATTCCGTAGCGGCGGATATTCGATATGTTCCTAAAAGTTTTTTACCTCTCGTCCTTATAACCATTATTCTAAATTGCGCAATTCACTTTATGGATTCAATACTGAAAATGCAACTTTGTCATTACAAAATATAATCCTCGATACTGTTACCGGATTATTTAATGGACTAACATTGAAGCCAGTAGAATGAATTTGTGAGTATGCGGTAAGCAATGCATACATGGTCATACAACTCAATAATAATAAAAGTACGATGGTATAATTGGATTATCACACTGAGCATGCTCAGTGATATGAAATGCGAAGCGTCTGATCATATGATTTTGGCTTCCATAAAAAATATCATGCATGTGTAGCATCTCACATAGATTTTGTACTTTTATCATTGTTGCGCTTGAATGCGAGCGTCGCCATACCACCAATTTACTTAGCAAGTTGCATGATTCATTCGTCTAGTACATTGAGTTCGAGAGTTTCTCTGTTGACCTAGCTCTTCACGTTGCGTTATTTTCGACGTCGGGAATTTTCGGTAATCAGTGATAATCGTCTGGTATTCTCAAACCATTACGTTGGGCTCACCAATTTAAACGGTTAATCGATAAAGCTAGTCAAATGACTATGTGCTTAGGTGGTAAGCAATGCCCAATTATATATGCGCATACAAGCTCAACAATCATAAAAGTACAAAATATATGTGAGGTGATATATATGTTCCTCTTCTTACGTTTCATATTGCAGAAACGCAAGGTCTTTGTTCCCGTCATAACATGGACATGATCTTTCAGCATCCATATCTGTAAATAATAGGATATATGATTCCTCGGGACTTGATTCATTAGAAATATATTTGAATGGGACACGGGTATTCGTCTCATACTCTCTAAGAGAATTTTGAAATTTATTTAATTTTTCTGTCCTTGACATCTTTACATCTGAGTATTCTAGTTCTCTGACTGCTTCGGAAACACTTTTTATGCCTTTTAATTCATCATAACATTGATTAATGATTCTACTCGATATATATGGGTTGTGAGAATGTTTATCTGCTATAATAACACCAGAAATATGACCAGGCTTTGTCTAATTTGAGACATATGTCATATTGAGTGGATATTTCATTGGAAATAAATCTATTGAGAGGACAAATGACATCTTATATGAACTGTAATCAGATTCTAACTTATTTGGAACTTATTACCTACTTCTAATTTGAATGTCACAAGAAATAAATGTATCATTAGAGTAAACCACATATAGTGAATAAAAATCAGAGTTCTGAAAAGGACTTGATTCATTTGAGAAACTTTTTGTCAGAAAGACTTCAGACTTCACTTGATATGGTTAAATCAGTAGACCTGTTGAGAACATATAAATGTTGCTCAGTGTTAACTTCATTAAGAACAGTTTTCTCTAGGATACTGATAATTTTCACTTGGATTTGTAAAACTTGCTTCCAAAATATCCATTTTTAACTGTTTATAATTAGGTGCCTAGGATTGTTTAGAATTACCCCGTCGCCTAACCGATATAACGGGTTTTTTCAATATACGTATTCTTTGTATTAAATATAGCGATTAAATGGGTGTTCGAGTTTATACTACCACTGAATAGGATGCTCGAACCGTAAACTAGACAGAGACTAGATAACGTTAACTCAGATACACAATTCATTACCAAAATAGAGAACTAGAGTAAGCGATATGCAATATTTCATTCCACACAACCACAAGTAGTCACACTGAGTCAGTCCGGATTAGAAATCAATAAGAGGAATGAAATCATAAATTGAACAGTCAGCAGTCTGTGCCGGATTGTTCACACTCGATGACCAATCACATTATCTTTCCACCACCACAAATCACTCATATTGCCCAAGTTTTCAGTAGCATACAGATTATCTATCTCTGCTGTTTAAATTTTAGACAAAATACATGAAGTGTTATCTTAAATCTTGTTGGTTCACTTGAAGTCGTACATTATAATTTTACAGCACCTCACATTTAAATTTACGCTAAATGAACGGAAACCCTCAAGTTTACTTTTTTTCCAATCTAAACGTTCATTATTTGATCAATGTTTAATAAGGTGTATTTACTGATTACTACATAAAATTAAGAAAGTTGTTCTTTACATTTTAGCGGAGGAATCGCTCTTAGCTATTACACACTGAAATTGGGATTTATTCCATTGCTGATTACTTATGGCATACTGCAAGGTTTTGGATTTGGATTCGGTTATTCAGCCACTATAGCTGCATCAGTTGCAGTAAGTGAATGAATTCCAAGTTTTATCTAAATACAAAGTCGTAGACATGAGTACTACAATATGTTGACTTTGATGGCTATATCCAGAACGCTAAAAGAGATCCTTATATATATATATATATATATATATATATATATATATATATATATATATAATATACAAAATAAGCTTGCTGATGTCAATCAGTTACCAGTTAGTCAGCACACCAAGTTATATCTGATCTACCAAATAATTTAAAACACGGGAAGCTATAACGTGGTGGAAAGTTAACAGAAGTCAATTGTGCAATCGACTGTAAAGAAAACTGGAGGCAATGAAATTTACGAGGAAGACATTTCACAATCGAGCTTACTAGAGCAGACTGACTCAAGACTCGCGGAACCACTAACAAGCTCACTCCTACATAAATTGAGTTTTGATAAGGCTGTTCAGAAAGACAGTGAAAGTTCCACAAATACACCAACTAATTCGGAGAACTCAACAAAAACAAAAGTACCGGTTTACACGTTGCAAACATTCATCCACAGTTATGTCTGTGTTCAAGTCATTGTACTGTCAGGATTTCAGTTCCGTCTCAACAGGTAAGGAACGAAACAGAAGTCGATAAATTTATGGAACGGAATTAATTAAACATTTAGGTGTGTTAGCACTGAATAAGAAATTTGTTTTAGAATCACGTTGATGTAGATAGTTGATGCTGAGTCACAGTACTGGTTGTTGATGTAACACTTTCGGATAAGAGTTAATTTATAAGCTAAAATATGGTATGAAACAGTTGCTAAGTACTCTTCATTGTTTGTATCAAGTTACCAGCTATGGTTGATATTATTTGTAATAAATTTTTTGTCTGTGTTGACTTCATTAATTGTAAAAGATTTGATTACAGTTAAGTCATCAATTTTATACGGATGTATTTAGTTCTAGGCAATAATATTTAACACGATTAAATAATAGTTCATTTTCATTAATGTAAAATTCGAATTCTCATATTCTAAAATTCTTGTATACTATTGTAAATTGTTAATAAACTAATCTTTTTCGTAAAATAATAAAAATAAAATATAGAGTCTTATGTAAATAAAATTTTTAAAACAATTAGTCAATATTATAAATTTTGACATACTGAAAAAACATCAGTAATCCAGAATATCCGATGTACATGAGATACATTTTGAACATGACCATATACTTAGTTTCCAAAGAATATCGCTTAGTGAGTTTTGTTTATGAGCTTTATATTTGGAACTTTAATACGAAGTAAAATGTTTTATGATCAAGTGAGAATATGTTATCAGTTTTAATTAAAATAGCAAAAACAAACTGAATTTTGAATAGATAAGTTAAAACTAAAATATTTTTCAAGAGCTAAAGTTGATGCTGTTTAGGTGAAGTGTTACTTTTGAAATTTGAGGCAACAATAAAACATTTTTTCAAGGCCTTTCCTGAATAATATTTTAGTTAATGTCATTTTTTAAGTTGGAACAATGGAAAGCATAAAGATGAATATTTCATTTTATAACAATTAATGCCAAACTTTACCGAAAGTTGGTAAATATTGATAACTTTTTGTGCTTAAGTGCACTAGGTTGATTTACCCTACTGAACGAAGCAATCAACTTGAAGAAATTACGCAAATGTACCCTTTTTATCAGCACTTGTATTTTCATCAGACAGGAATATTTCGGTTACTTTGATTTTTCCTCCTATTCATTAGTGGTTTCAAAATCATCGAGGTTTAATTGTTGGTCTGATTGTCGGTGGCTTTGGTGCTGGTTCCATTATCTTCACACCTGTTCAAACAATGTTTATTAATCCAAATAATGTCAAGATAGATAATAAAACAAAGTAAATATATTTCATAAATATTTCATTTAAACACAGTGAACATTCTCATCTCTTTAAAATTAAAACAACATTCATCTCTTAGTTCCTGAAAAGTTATGGAGGTGCATTGTCACTATTCTCCCAAGGTGGGCTCAGATATCTCAGTAGCTTAGATTCTTTTTAACCTCTTACGAACTTGCAAACTAGATATATTCATAAGCTAGCCATTGAACAGATACAATACGCTTAAATAATAACTCCCAACAAACAACTTTCCTAAAGTTATTTCCGCTACATTTAAATAAAACTGGTAAATTTCTGTCAGGTACCATCATAATCAATACAGTGAAGTCTTAAGAATCATGCTACTACTAACACTACTATTGCAATCAAACATACGATAGCACTGTAAAGAATAAAAGTCATTTTATGTGGAAGCGAATTATTCAGTCAACAGAATAAATATCTAATTTGATAAATTCTGCTGCTTAGTATTCACTAGAAAACTTATTATATTCATGGATTGATTTGTCAGATCAATTTTTGAGCTAGGAATGGTCATTAGCATTACCAGCAAGAATGATTTAGTTATGAAAGGTCAATGTTTTTCTTCATACGTATTCTGTTCAGACTACTTGAGTTACGAACAGAAAACTAAAATACACTTGTTTAGAATGATAATCTACTTCCTTCCTCAATTTGTCTGGTCAGTCACTAGTTTCTGTTGAGTTCATATCAAAATGATGTATGATTGTCCAACTGTTTATTAGTATGCAAGATAGAGTTATTCTAGTACGCTATTATTAACTAACTGCTTCACATTTCACTAGTTGATACAAATGGAGGGATATGGAGTTTTTAAGGAGTAACTATGATGAAAATGCCATTAATTAAAAAACATACTTCCTAATTTTTATACATTACACAGAAATCATATTCTTTAAAACATATTCTGTAATGTGGATATTGCTTATATTATTTGTGACTATAATATTTGCTATTTTCAGATGAAGCGTCATTTTGTAATAATGAATTTATTTTTTGGTCTTCATTGAACAGGCGGTTTGAAGATGTTGATTTAATTAATCGAGTTCCATCTGTATTTCTACTTATTGGTGGTATTTTGTTAGTCATTCAATTAATTGGATTATATTTGATCAGAGATAAACAAGAGGTAAGATGATGCAATATCAGTACTGAATAACATTTTCATCTTGAGTTGATTTCATCATTATAGTGATTATAATATAATGCTTTGCCTACCGTACCATTACAATACTTAGCTGCTTATTTTGAATACTTTACTATAAGATACATATTGTATCGTTAGGAAAAAATACACAACAGGTTCTGTTATTTGTATCAGTGTTAATCAGAATAATGTTCCTATATAATATTTGTGTTTGATAAAAAATTCAAAGCCAACAAGTCTTTCAAGTTGTGAACAGCTTTAGTGTTTCAATTTATTAAGTTGAAATCTCAATTTTGTAGTTTGATCTGACATAAATTTTTTTTTTGTATTTTAGAAGGCGACTATTGTTTTATTAACGAAACATGACTTCCAATGTTCTGATAAGTTAGTAAGTCAAAGTACCGAAATATATATTTCTCATATATTTGTATCAAATAACTTTGTCAACTATGTGTAACTTACTTTATTTGAAAAAGAATCAAATATCAAGTGTTTTACACAAACACCACATAACATTAGAATTAGTATTATCTAATAACTCAGTTGACAGAGCAATATAATTGTAGTCTACTAATAATTAAACTCCAGCTAAGAACTACCAATTGTTGATGTGTTGACTACTCAGCAAAGTATACTTCAGGTTGTAAATTCATTTTAACCAAATACCCTTTGAATTCCTATTATAGAAATGGAGAACGGATTGAGTTTCCAGTTATAACGAACTATGGCAGATGATACTGCAGGTTACGAAAGTCTAATTTAGCTAATAGTAAATACTGAATTTGTAGACTATGTAATAGTAGTCTATGAACAAGAATGGACAAAGTGGACAACCCTGACGAACACCATTCGAAGTGATGAATACCGATGACAGTTCGCCATAAGCTCTCACTCGACCTGTGGTATTCGAGCAGAGAGCCTGTATTAGGTTAATGTACTTCTCTGCTAGTTCTTCCAGTGACACATACTGCCATAGAACTTCGTGATCAACATTGTCAAATGCCACTGTAAAGTCAACGAAGACAACTATAGTGGGTTGCCAAAATTTGTGTGTTTGTTCTAGAAAATGGCGAGAAGTGAATATGTGGTCTATACAACGATGTCCAGGTCTGAAACCAGCCTGGTTTTCTCGAGTCCACTCATCATGAGCTCTAGATAGGATTCGAACTATAACTGAAGCTAGTATTTCAGACACTATATTAGTTAAACTGATTTCTCTGTAATTGTCAATGAGGACTTTTGTCCTTTCTTATAGACTGAGATCAGTCAGATGGAATTACACCCAGTTCCCAGATCCTACCTAAGATCACAGTCAATCTAACCGCTAATACTGCACCCATATTCAAAAAAATCTTAGTGGTTAATCTATCAGGACTTGCTGTTCTCCCTCACCGTAGATTGCCTATAAGCTTTCCAACTTCATTAAGAGTTAGAGGATTTACATCAACTTGACAATCGGGTTGATTGGACGTCGTGGGCAACCGAAGTGTGGCTTAAGGTCAGTTGAACTGATCCCTAAAGTGTTCTGCTCATCGATCCAGTATCCTGGATTGAGAATGAATAATAAGCCCATTCTTGTCCGAGATAGTTTCACTTACATTCGGATTCATAATACTGGTTTCCTAAATACGTCTGAACATCTGTCTACAGGTACCCACCCTCAGACCTTAAGTTGCCGCTTGTAATCTTACCTCTTCTTCAGTCGACCTGCCTGTCATGGTAGGAACTGAAGGAACATGTGTTTCAGCCAATAATATAGCTCAGTTGGGTGATTACGATAGGCATTTTAGGTCACTATGTCAAGGTAGCAGCTACCGTTGGGTATGAATATTACACCCTGATTTATTTATTATATGATCTGTAGCAACAAGAAATCTTCAGTCAATGTGACTAATAATGTTATAAAATTTCTTTTTTTTTTGCTTAGTATGAACCGCCACCCGTTAAAGAGTAAGTTAACGAATTTCATCGTTACATTACTATTGTTGCAAAACACATCTATGCATATTCTCAACCATATAGAATTAAAACCAATTTTAGATTTTACCATGCATCAACATTAAACAAGTAAGCTATGAAAACTGAGGCAGAATAGATCTTTATTTCACAATAGCTTTTAGACTTTCCCAAAAGTGCTAACATTAATTCCCATAAGTTAGCATGGACCATCTGTATAGCTAAAGTGGGTTGGCTTAAATCGCTGTGCATGATTTTTTTTTCTAGTTTTCAGTCATCAAGGACACCAATAATCTAAATATGGACGCTTGCTGACAATCAATGAGACCTTATTAAGACATGTTTTTTATTTTATTTAAATGATTCGGTTTAAAGAAACGTGTACATAAGTAATATTTTTCTATTATCACATTTCATGACATGACTTCAAACCAGATCTTTGGCCTAAATCCATAATGCTGGACTACATTTTTTGTAGGTGAAACTCATAATGCAGCGGTAGATATCACTTGAGACAATAAATACCATCCCCCAGTATCAGTTATTTTCATTTTTATTCTGTCAAAACAATATTTTATCATTCAAAGTAAAATCAAAATCCCTTAATATATATCAAACAAAAGGAACAGATTAATTGAAAAAGGCAGTAAGGTCCTGGTAGAAAAATGATATTTAGCATGTAAATGTATATGTAGTGGTTCGTGTTTGGATCACAGAGGATCTCAAGGAAATCAATTTCTACATTTTGTAACTTCGATAATGAACTTTTGACAAAATTACTTACTACTTGGTTCTGTTTGTACTGTTCTTAGAACCATACTATCCCTAAATCACTCTAAAAGTAATGATTCCGTATAATTTTACGTAAGAAATACTTCGTAACAAACAGTGGCTTCACATGATTTTTAAGCTTACATATGAAATAAGAACTAATCACAATTATCACTGATCCAGCAACTGAAAAACTCCCCAATTACTTGACATTCAGTTTTTTTTATCAATATTGTAAATTAAACTTACCACAATCTACTATAAAAGATAACAGATTCGAGTTTGAAGCATCACCACTGAATGCAAATACGTTAAAATCAACACTGAATGAATGTTTTTGTTGGTTTAGCAGTCCACAAAGTAAAGATAGTTTAAGAATAAACTGTTCTTGAAAATGTTACTCCATAATCTGGAATTTTTATTACAGATATTTAGATCAAGAGACACGGTGAGTAATGCACAATCCGTTAGTATTATTATGTATAGCTATATGAAGTCAAATTCTCTTGCTTATTTATTGTTATCTGACTGATGTTTTTGAGAGTAGACGTATTCTAGTAATTTTAGGGCCTGGATAACGTACAGTCAGATAAACATCTTACTTATACGATTAAGTAAAGGCCAACTACACTAGAGACTGTCGAGTGTCATATTTTGTGCTTGATTCAGAAATAATCTCTTACAATATTAAATTATTACTGTCGTTAGTTTCATTCATTAGACGTTTTGGTGCTCATCAAACTACTTAAAACAGCATTTTATCACTATTCAAATCCCTGATGCAAAATATATACGACCAAGTTTGATTACTTTAAGTCAGTCCGATCACTATTAATCTGCAAGTTATAAGTTTAGCTTCATCAGTATATTTTTATGCAACCGTTGCATTTTTGAGCCATTAAAAAACCTATTCCGTAATGAGATAAAAGGGTCTTTCAATATTTTAAATATCCTCGTATTACGCACAGACTATATAACCTTAACTCAGATACACGATTCATTACCAAAATAGAGAACTAGAGTAAGCGATATGCAATATTTCATTTCACACAACCACAAGTAGTCACACTGAGTCAGCCCGGATTAGAAATCAATAAGAGGAATCAAATCAAAAATTGAACAGTCAGTAGGCTATACCAGTTCGTTCACGCTTGATGACCACTTACATTTTCTTTTCACTACTACACATCATCTTGTTTGAAGAGTAGCATGTATACAAGTTCACTTACTCATAAAAGTGATTCAATACCAAATGATTAAGCCTAAAAAACATATATTAAATAGTTACTGGGTGACCTACATACTAATTTCCCCCAGTCATATATCATATCTAGTCGTCTTGGTATGTTTTGATATTTTGCACATAATCACGCCATCTTCTAACGATTGGCCTTGTGTTTGATCTTAATTCGTTGTCAGTCTTATATCAATAATATGTTCTCGTGAACAGTCATAAATCGATCAATATTCTATTATTTGAACAGTCATCAATTCATTCATTATCTTAATCCACGAGATGTAATTTGTTTTTCTCTTTTATATTTGAATGAAATAAGGAATCAAGTTGACTATTAACTATACATAAAAAATTTACTAGCTTAAACGGAAACAGTCATTTTACGTAGATACTCTGAACTCTCAGTTCTTTTTCTCTAATATTGCCATCGACCACTTTATATCCGTAGTCAGTAATCTTTAGTGCAATATAGGATACATGTTCATATTTTTAAAACGTAGTTAGGTGTTGATCTAAACTTACTCTCAACTTCGAAACATTACTCTCTAAACATCAAAGTATGTATGAGCCCGTAAGAGCGATTTTTAGTGCACTTTGTATTAGCACCCCCCCCCGCTAATGCCTTTTGATACCAGCAGATAAGTGGTTATTTTACTAGTCAATAACGCAAAATCTCTCCGCAACCACGTAATATATAAAACAATAGAAAAAAAAAACATTTCTCTTCGTTATAACTATTGAATAGAATGAAATGACTCATGATTGTTAAAAGTGTTTATTTTTCTTCACAAAGTTTAGTAAATTTGCGACCTTTGGAATTATTGAAACAGAAAGAATTTTATTTTTTGTGGATTGTTATATTTTGTGCTGGAGTACCTTTGACATCGTTGGCAACACTTTTCAAGGTTAGACATATTTCATAACAACCTAGTAGTGTTTGTGTTTCTAGTTAGTTACGACTGATTTTACACAGTATATTTATCAGTTAAAATCGATGTAATGTGTAATGCTGTTTGACTAGTAATGAGAAGTACACTGTATACTTTTTATTTGTGCATTACGAATAGTCAAATACAAAACATTATACTCAGTAAACTACTGTAACAAAATATACCAATAATATCAACTAAGTGATTTCTCTGTAATCACTGTGACCATTAAAATAATGAAATTATTCACTGTACGAGTTGAAAAGACAATATGAATGATTGTCGATTTTTTTATTGCAGCACCAACCTATTCTTTAGAAAAGCGTAAAACAGACAATGAGAATAACCTGATTTTATGCATTCGTACAACTTGATTCGTTGTTCAGTTCCATAGCTCAACATCTATACCAATCAATAAGTTCCGGTTTACGATAGTTGCCAGCGAGCTTCTTTGTTGTATCGTACAATTGTATCGAGTTTTCTTCTCTCACAGCCTTTTCCGTCGTCATAGCTAGATCTTCCGCATATATACGTTCGTCGGCTTTGATGTTCCACTTCAATTTCCTGTTTGATTCTGTGTAATCAGCTTGTAGCTTGACATTTTCTGCTCTTGTTCGCCTGATATTGATTACAGACTTCTTGTTCCTCCTTTCTTGAATTGCCTCAAGAGTAACGACAGAGATCCATTCCTTGTGATGGTACTTCTTGTTGTCCAGAACCTCATAATATGTTGAAGCGATTGCCTCCTTAATTCCTTTCCAAATGTTCTCCATCGTAGTTCCCTTTCCATTGAGTGGACCATGAAAAGCCTGGAATCTATTGCTGATGGCTATCTTGAATTCGTTGAGATATACAGTATCCCTAGGAAAGACCGTATTAGCCTCTCGCAGGGTTGATCTTTAACATCTTCATTGTGGTCGTTGATAGGTGCATTGCATTGCATGTAGTTCACTGTAATGTCCTATTTCCTTGTTCTGAAGGATGTTTTATTGATCCTCGGTCCCATCCTATCAGTGCTTTTAGTGCTTGTTTAGATAGCATCAGTGCGACTCCATGTGTGTGTGAGGCGTTTTCTTCTTGGCTAGAATATAACAGCAGCTCTCCTGAAGCTAGTCTTAGTTGTCCAGCTTGCGTCTAATGTGTTTCACTGATTCCAAGTACCTGTAGGTTGTATATTTTCATCTCTGCAGAAATTCGAAACAGACTTTCAGTCTCCTATATTATTCAAATAATGATTGCTCTGGTTGTGAGAAGGGGCATCGGCTCCTTGACTTCCGAAGGAATTCAGCTTTCACCATGGGACGTCATAACTGTTTTGAACGAAGACCTCCTAACTCTTACGGTAGAGTTAAAACGGTTTGAACTAAGTTTTCAGGTTACCTTTTTTTAGTAGTTAGTTTTTTAATGGTTTTGGGTCGTTAACCCCATGCCCAAAACTGGTCTTTTATCCGGACTTGGGACTGACAGCAGCCTCAGAATGGCTACAGGCAGAGTTTAATGGACCCAAATGAAATTTTATAACCATTGATCAGGACAGTAATGCAACTAAAGTAGGATTCGAAATCACTGTGTACATGCGATCGAAACAATGAATTATCTGGTTAGTATATATATATATATATATATATATATATATATATATATATATATATAGTGAGAAGCAAGGAAGGCAAGGTAGGAATTAACATTGGAGAAAGGCCAAACGGGTGGGTAACAACCTTTAAGGAGTTCTTGAATCGACTAGCTCCACTGAGCCCACTCTACATCGAATAAACATCCATGGACCTCTCAATCAGTGTTGACTCACCAACAATGGAAGTGATCAGCATGGCTATCAGACAAACCAAGAGCTTCAAAGTAGCAGGAACAGACAACATTCCAGCAGAGGAAATAAAAGGAGATGTAGCAGCAACTGAAAAGATACTCCACATTCTTTTCAACAAGATTTGGGATGAAGAACAAGCAACAACAGACTGGAAAGAAGGATACCTCATCAAAATATCAAAGAAAGGAGATCTCAGCAAGTGTGAGGACTACAGAGGCATCACTCGTCTCTCAATACCAGACAAAGTCTTCATCAGGGTATTGTTAGACAGAATAAAGGACTTCGTAGACATTGAACTTCGAGATGAACAGGCTGGATTCTGTAAGGATCGATCGTGTATCGACCAAACTGCAACATTGTGGATCATTGTAGAACAATCGATGGAATGGAACTCACCACAATTTATCGACTTCACTGACTATAAGAAAGCATTTGATAGCGTGTACAGGACAACACGATGGAGACTTATTCAACACCATTTTGTGTCTGAGAAGATAGTCAACATCATACGGAATTCTTATGATGGATTAAACTGCGAAATCGTGCCTGGAGGACAGCTGATAAACTCGTTCGAGTTGAAGACCGTTGTCATGTAAGGATGCTTACTCTCACTTTTTCTCTTTCACCTGGTGATCGACTGGATTATGAAGACTGCCTATGCTCCAGTGTGGATAACAGGCGTGAGTAAGAGAGAGAGAGAGAGAGAGTAAAGGTTCAGCTAATGAAGTTAATAAACTAAGATTGCTGAGTTATTTCTAACTATTTGCCAAAAGTGAGCTGTATTTTAAAAATAATTAGTGAACAGTTTTACAGACTCCGTTTGTAAAAAATTTTAATATTTTTATCAAAGATGAATTTTCTATAGAATGAAACGGACCCTATGTTTGTTTGCAAGTTCAAATGTCTCATTTGTTCATGTCTTATATCAAGTTAGGTATGAAACTAGTCGGAATTCGGACATTCAGTCAAAAAGTAATTTCTCCTACACTTCAAGTCAATCATTTCTCCGAAATTTAAATTCCAGTTTTCCACTGTGCAGCTGTAGCACTCATCTTAAACTAAACTAACTAACTTAATTTTAGAACATACAACTTTCTGATAATCTTAACTTCAATATATGTATTTAGCTTTATTGGTAACAAATTTGACTGTTTTTTACCACACAATAATAATTTGACTTCAAGAGGTTTATTGATTTCTATAAACTTCCAAATAATTTCTGGTTTAAATTAATTTACTTGAGTTTAAATAAATGTTTTCTCATTTTGTTGAGATATGCCAACAAACAAAATTTACTTGAACTCAACAACTTTTAAATATACCACTACTTATTGAATAGGTGCCAATGAAAGAGATGAGTGGACCGTCGGTATCAGAAACGTTTACTGAATATAAAAGTGCGAATCATTACTACTGTGAGAAATGGATGGCCTTCAACTTGAGTTACTTTTAATAAGCTAACAAACAAAGCATTTTGTGATATTTCTCATCGAAAGTCAGTTAAAGTAAAAAGTCATGGAGAAATAATCTGATAAACCCACTTGTTATCTATTAGATCATCTAAGATTTCCATATCATATTACTGAACCATTTTTATGTTTACCAGTAATCTTGTTAACCTTAGACTTTTTTGAGACAATTGGGAAAAGAGTTCACAACACCATGATGAGTTTATTAGCTGCAATAAAAATGATTGTGATTTAGCTGATTGTTTTGTCGACTAGCATTTGTTTGACTGTTGAAAAGCATACCTTAGTTAAGGGACTCATCCATAGGATTTTTCATAATTAATCAAAATTTTAATTGAATCACAATCATCTATTTTGCAAATTTTCCAGCTTTTTGGTAAAACTCATATCAATGATGACCGATTTCTTGCTATCATGGGTGTCGTTGCATCCGTGTTTAACGCTGTTGGACGCGGTTTCTGGGGTACTATCAGTGATCGTATTTCGTTCAAAGTAAATTTTAGAACTTTTCAATTCATTCGATAAAAGTATAATATACTGACAACCTTCAGTGAACCAATCAGGATCAAGATAACTACTTACGTATTTCGCGCGAAATTTAAAGTATAGTGCAGATAACTTATGTTATTAGTAGCAATGTAGGAATTTGCAATATATGGTCCTTATAATGCTTAAAATCAATAAAAATTTGTATTAGGAAACTGAAGAGTAAATTTAAGGCGGTGATGAAGATAAATTACCAAGCATAACTGTTCTCAAGTCAAATCGCATGATATGGTATTTGTTATGATTCCACGCGATGTCAGTAGTATTTAGTGAAGCTAGATCATCATATCCTTTCCTCTTAACTTTATTTTAAATTCCAACAATCAGCCTCTTAAATTTATAAACAGTAGAATGACAAAGCAATACATGTCTTTTCGTGGTCAGAACCCCAACCGGAGACTGAGTCCTAACCTTTTAGCATCATATCTGGTCACATTTCGTGTCCAAAACTCTTTGGGGTGATAACCGCCACTCGTGACACTAGCCTGACTTGAAATAGGTGGACTTGGCATTTTTCTTTCCTCTTCAAGGGATAATCCGACATCTGAGGGTTGATTATTCTGATCAGCGTTATTATTCCACTGATATTTTTCGGATATGAGTAGATGAGAGAAGGTAGTGTTTCCTGATCGGCTGATATCTTCAGTATATTCTCCTTTCCTTGTTCATTCTTTAACTTGAGATATTTTATCGATAAAAGTAATCACCTCAACACTAATGGCACATTTTACGCCACATCTGAACTTCGCCAGTTCAAAAGAAATTCCCTTGAAGCTTCATAGTCAGAATTTTAAGTATCAAAAAATTTTTTTATCTGCCTAACTTTTTACCGAATATCCTGCTCACTGAATATGCAAGATTCATTGTTTTCCTAAATCAGTCGAATAAAATTAGTGTTAAATAAGTAAGGTGTAAATAGTTATCATTGAAAAAACCAAACCGTAGTCCGATCAGATAGAACAGAGGATCAATTAACCATGTTCTCTTCAGGGAAATCAAACGGTGAGATTTGATACTTTCCATATAAGTAAAGTTGGTGAGATAAAGGGTTGTGAAGTGTGGAATTTCTAAACACAAGTCAAACATCAAATTAGTTATGTTCGTTATATCTTACTTGATATCATGTAAGTCGGGAGGTCCGGGAAAACTCATTAATGTTTTAAATGGAAAACTCTTCAAATCTTGATGTATATCATTTGGGTTACTGTATACGAAACGTGTGGTGGCATTTCAATGATTATTATGTATTCAGTAAACAATCCATCAATTTACTATTTATGATGTTTACTGACAACTAAAAGATGAAATTTATGTACTGAGCTTCGAATTGATTCAAGGATGTACAAATAAATGCTATTATTTCAGTACCGGTGAAGATATTAGTCATTGTTGATGCTGATAAACTTCACAGTACTTAGAGAAAAAGTCGGAATACCACTTTTCGCTCATGGTTGGTTAGTTTTCTTAACAGTATTTCAAGCTAAAGAATTAATTTTTAGTAAGCAGTATGATTTTGAACATTTCACTCTGATACCGGTCGACTGAAGAATCGAATAATCAAAATTTATTAGAAGGGTTAATTCACCAGATGACAATAATAAATTTTACGAAATATTTTAAGATGTAATTTCATGTCATCTTAAACTACTGACTAATTTTATATAATCATTTTAACTACTAAACAGTAGTATGATATTTACAAAATAATGAATTTAAGGAAGTGACTAATATCGGTAAGTTAGTATTATCATTTTGAATAAATGATTATTTGCCTAACCTTAATGTATTATAATCATTATTTGGATGTCAGGTTCCATTGTGCATCATATTTTTATGCTGGTCACTTTTGCTAACTTCATTCCCACATTTACCGCTGATATTTGGAGCACAAATCAAAGTTGGTTTCGGGATTTGGCTATGTGGTCTCTATTTATTAATTAGTGGTGTGCTTGTCTATGCACCAACTGCTACAGAAACTTTATTTGGACCAGTTAATATGGCTGTTAACTATGGATTAGTTTTCAATGCTTTTGTAAGTAGATCATTTTGTGGATATTTATGCGGTTTATAAGATTTTTTATCGTTTGTACCATGAATCGGCAGCAAGCCATGACTGTTTGAAAACAGAACTAAAGTTAATATGTTTGGAGAACATAAAATTTTTATTTTTTTCTAAATTTAATAGCCTTGATAAAATTGTAATAATAGGGTAGCGTAGCTCTCTTAGGCAATTTCGATAACACCGTGCTTAGTCTAATAAATTACGCACTATAAGGAACGTAATATTTTGAAAATTTAATAACAGTATAATTAAAAAAAACATTTAAAAGTAAGTAGTAAAATTCCAAAAGCTGTAAAATGACCTTCTTTGACCTGAGTTTTTTTATTTACTTAAGATTGTATTTACCAACAGAACATACTCAGTATATCATAATCAATTTAGGACTCAATGATGTATACTTTTCTCCTAGTTAGATATCCAGTAATTATGGTAAAATGAAACAAACAATCACCATAAAAATGCCTTTAATATCTCGACGAATACTGCAAACTTTGGAAATGATACTCAGTGAATGATTTTCAATATTTTTCGAATCTGTTAACAATTGCCAATTGAATTCAGCAAAACTTTTTCGACCCTGCTCAGAGCTGGAATATTTTTCCCATGGTATCTTTTATCCACACATATAATGAAGATGGAATCAAAGACAATAATAGAGAAAAATAATAGGTATAACGCCTATGAAAATCTTGCTAACCAGAAACTAAGAAGTTATTAACTATATTCTCAACTAGTAATTGATTATATACAAAAAATAGGCCATGAATATGTGTAGATCGTTACAGTACTAACATTTTAGATTTAATTAGCTAACCACAAGGAGGTAAGTGTAAAATGAACACTTAAAACATAATATAAATCAGAAAAATGTAGAACCAGTTTGCTTAATCAAGGTTAAACCTTATAAGAATACGGGGACGCTTTTCAAAAGACGAGCAAATTTTAGGTCTTTAGACAGCTAAAAGTAGAGGAAAAGCACCATTTATGCCATTCAGCTTCACTTTGGAAAGGACTGAAGTTGGGTGTCCCGCATTAGTCCTAACAATGTTGATCTTTCAGCTGATCCAACTTTCTTTTGAATGAATCACGTTTGCAGCTTCAATCGCGTGTTTGAGTAACGACCACCATTCGTTGACGATTCAATCAGAAAGTCGGTAGTCAGATAACAAGTAATTTGGTTTGAGCTTGTGAACTTTTGTAGAGTGTCATCGTGAATTCTCTGTATTGGCGGGCGAGAAAAACGATGACATGTCAGATGCGAAATTATCATCAGTTAATTTAAAAACCATGGTCATATCACATTTGGTCTTTCAGTATGGTAAAGAAAATAGATTTAATTTAACCAATATCTTGTCATGGGCCAGTTTCGCAATTCCAAGAATCAACTTAGCTGCGCTTCTTCGAACTATGCCCAGCAACTCACTGTCCTTTTTTAATAGAACACTGAGAAGACGTAATTGATCTCAGAAATGTGGCGTATTTGTGCTATCCATATATTACAATCTAGTCACAGATAATTCTCAAGGCATTTTATATGAAAATGTTAGAATATTCATCCAATATCTTGAGAGAATTGTTTCTAAGTCTAGTTCTATTGGTCGGTTCCTATTGGTTGATACCAACTGGTCAACATTACGGTCGTCCAAACTGTCAATGTCAAATACTTCAATGTTCTTTCCAATTCTACCTATCTGTATAAATATGCACTATCTGTAACGTTTTATGACCTGGATTCGGATCCTTCTCCTCTTCTGGACTCGAACCTCGTACTTTCTGGATGCTTGTAGAATACAGGTTCTACTTCATATCAAGTCTTTTTCTTTTATCCAATGGGGATTTGGGACACTCGGATTACAGTAGCATGTCGTGTCACCAGATCATCGATCCTCGCTCTCGTTTTCCGACTAAGGTAAACTGGTATTGGTTCAAGCATATCAAAATGATGTGTTTACGTGTATGCGTAACAGGAAACCAATAAAAGTCAGTTAAATAGAAGTACAAATAAACAATGTGATAATTACAAGGAGCAGATATAGCCTCAGATCACCAATTACTGGTCACCAAAAAGAAACTAAAACTCAAGAACCATTGGACAGTGGAGCAGACAACATCACTAAAGTTTAATACGGTCTTTCCTAGGGATACTGTATATCTCAACGAATTCAAGATAGCCATCAGCAATAGATTCCAGGCTTTTCATGGTCCACTCAATGGAAAGGGAACTACGATGGAGAACAGTTGGAAAGGAATTAAGGAGGCAATCGCTTCAACATATCAGGAGGTTCTGAGCAACAAGAAGTACCATCACAATGAATGGATCTCTGTCGTTACTCTTGAGACAATTCAAGAAAGGAGGAACAAGAAGTCTGTAATCAATATCAGGCGAACAAGAGCAGAAAATGTCAAGCTACAAGCTGATTACACAGAATCAAACAGGAAAGTGAAGTGGAGCATCAAAGTCTACAAAAAGATTCGAGATGAAGAACAAGTAACAACGGACTGGAAAGAAGGATACTTCATCAAATTACCAAAGAAAGGTGATCTCAGCAAGTGTGAGGACTACAGAGGCATCACTCGTCTCTCAATACCAGACAAAGTCTTCATCAGGGTATTGTTAGACAGAATAAAGGACTTCGTAGACATTGAACTTCGAGATGAACAGGCTGGATTCTGTAAGGATCGATCGTGTATCGACCAAACTGCAACATTGTGGATCACTGTAGAACAATCGATGGAATGGAACTCACCACAATTTATCGACTTCACTGACTATAAGAAAGCATTTGATAGCGTGTACAGGACAACACGATGGAGACTTATTCAACACCATTTTGTGTCTGAGAAGATAGTCAACATCATACGGAATTCTTATGATGGATTAAACTGCGAAATCGTGCCTGGAGGACAGCTGATAAACTCGTTCGAGTTGAAGACCGGTGTCATGTAATGATGCTTACTCTCACTTTTTCTTTCTTCTGGTGGTCGACTGGATTATGAAGAAGTCAACATTGGTAGAGAAGAACGGTATATGGTGGACAACCATGATGCTGTTGGATGATCTGGATCTTCTATCGCACACGCAATAACAAATTCAAGATACGACCAATGTGGCGGCAGCATCTGGTCTCAACCTACATAAAGAGAAAAGCAAGATTCTGCGATACAGCACAGCATTCACGAACAAAATCACTCTTGATGTACATACCTTGAAAGACGTGAAAACCTTTACTTATTTGGGCAGCATCATCGAAATTCAAGGTGGATCCGATGCAGCTGTGAAGGCGCGAATCGGCAAAGCAAAGACAGCATTTCTACAGTTCAGTAATATCTGAAAATCAAAACAACTGTCAACAAACACCGAAGTCAGAGTTTTCAACACATATGTCATGACAGTTCTACTATATGCTGTGGATCCCTGGAGAACAACGAAAGCCATCATCCAGAAGATACAAGTATTCAGTAACAGATTTCTACACAAAATACTTTGTTTTAGTTGGCCAGACACCGTCAGAAACAATCTACTGTGGTTGAGAACAAACCAGATTCCAACCAATGTGGAAATCAGAAAGATGCGGTGGTAGTGGATAGGACAAACGCCGCAGAAGGCACCCAACTGCGTCACAAGACAAGCCCTCACTTGGAACCCCCAAGGTCAAAGGAAAGGAGTAAGGCTAAGGAACACATAACGTGGGAAAATGGAGACAGACATGCAAAGGATGAACAAAACTTGGACAGAACTGGAAAGGGAAGCTCAGGATGGAGTTGGTTGGGAAACACTTGATGGCGGTCCATACTCCATTGAGGGTAACAGACGTAAGTATTTAAGTATTGAGTTGAGGGATGGAACAATAAGTCGGTTAGTTTATAGGGAGCCAACCGAGACTTGATATTATTAAAATTTCTACAGCTTTTGTCCATGATAGCACAATCAAGACTCGGAAAAATGCCTCTTCAATAGGACACAAAGAATATGTACCATATATAAGTTTACATGTTTATGTGGACACATAAATCTAGAGGAGTAATCGGACCCTGTAGTCAAGTGTTATGGAACATGTTCTTAAATGGTTTCAAAATCAGTTAATACGAAATGACTCGCTGAATATAGGTAATAGGTGACCATGTTCATCGATATCAGAAAACATAATCGAAATGGGGAAGTAGAATTCTGAAGTTTATAGAAGTCTAGGCTACTCGTAAATTTAAACTCCTTTTATATTTACAGAAACATTTTGTTATAACCTTTAATTTATCCTGGTAAATTTTACGCCATTTAATGGCCTAAGCAGGTGTGACCATTTCTTATTCTTTCTCTATTATGTTAATTTTCTCTCCCCTTTACTTGCAATTATCACCTTGTTTATTTGAAATTCTATTTAACTGACGTTTTATTAATCTTCATAAAAAATGCCTTGTCAAGTGTCTGTGACCAGATTGTACTAAATGTAAAGCGCAAACACACCACATTTCTCAGATCAGCTACGACTTCGCATTGTTCTATCTAAAGTTATGAAAGGGAATGATTATTTTAAATGCCTTTTTTTAATCAGAGGCTGGCTGCTTCTGTGTGAAACTGAAGTTTAGGACAAACGAATTCTGCATAAAAGATCAAAAATGTCTAATATCGGCATTGTTAAAGGTTCTGTGCAACGCTACACAATAGATTACTCATGTATTTTGTGAGTAGCATCCGCCACAGGGGTCAGTAGTATAGTATTGCATACATTACATAATTATCCTCATTTACTGAACCAAGAACTTGGATGATCATTTACTGAGAAAGCAATTTGAATCAGTAGTTAGTAACAGTTATCTTTCAATTAAATAGCTATCAAAAAATGATCGATATTTCATCTCGTCATCGTAGTGTAGGAGATTAAATATATAATGGAAATTTAGTAAACCCGACTACTAAAATTTTCATTTTATTGTTTTCATATGTCATGGAAGTCTTCACCAACTGCTCAGAATATTAGTTGCTTTATGATGATCATTCAATACATCAGTGACAGTGAAGTGGTGCGAGTCGCGGTTGACTAAGATCACCACTGCAGACCAATTATGCTCCCGTCACAGAGAAGACCAATTACTTCATACGAGAGAATAAATTTGCTGACGATTTACTTGGAATCTAAAGAATATCGAAGTCTTGCCAGGAAAGAGGGGCGAAAGTGGAGCCAAAATGGCAGCAACACAAACGGAGAGTTTGCGCGTACAGAGTAGAATAGACAAAAAGATAGCTTTAATGATAATACTCTTACCAATAAGTATAACTTATTTGCGAAGACTGCTTAATTTTATTCACATATAAGCATAGATGTGACCTACTTAACGGAGTTTTACAGGGAATCTTTTGATAGTTCTTACCTATGATTAAACATACGTTCCTATAACGTCCAATTACCTGGTACCAGGTCAACCGAAGTCCGTAAATGAAATATCACTACTTCTTCCAAACAATTTCAGTAACAATTACTACCGCTTATTTATCTCCATTTACTTCATGTCGTTTCTTTCATCTTGTGCATCATGATGTAAATAAGTTCATTAAACTATTTGTGAATAGAGATGTGAATATGTAAAAACGTATTTGACATTTTACAATTACGGCCTGTAAACAGAATCATGTTTTGGTATTCAGGTAAGTGAATGCCATTACGATTACCATTTCTGTTCTGTTTGAAATGATTCTGTTCAGTTACATGCAGACTATAACAACAATATTTGGAGAAGTAGTAATGTATACAGCTTTTTTTATTGATCACTAATTAGTAACGGTTATCTAAAAAAAAACTATCTCAGTTTACATCAGTCCGTATCATTTCGTGACTTGATATCTAACATATTTCCGTTTTCCAACTGATTTACCAACAGGCATTTTACTTGTCTTAATTTACTATTTTATTGTACTAATACTTCTGTAATGTTCTAGTAGAACTGAATTATGTTGAGTTAGACAGAAAATCTACATACAAGTATTCATGCAATCAGTTACACGCATTCGCACACCACAATTAAAGGTGAACTGACCTTTAAAGAATAATTGTTTGTTTAAACAAACGATGAACCCGTTTGAATATCGACTTTTACATGATCCGTATGGCTAGTAGGGTTGCTATTTGTCTAACAGTATTTATTCAGTTTTGGTACCATTTTATCATTAGTTTTTTTATATTATAATACCCTAGGTTATTAAAGTATGTGTGGAGTATAATATTTTAAACGATGTTTACCATAAAATAGGTATTCGGCGGTCTGTTCGTTTCACTGCTGTCCATTGTAATTCCACAGCTTCACGAATGGGATAAACTATTCTATCTATGTGCTGCAATGTGTATTTTAGGTATGTTATTATCAAAAGCTTTTAATGTTGTCATGTATCACTGTCCTAACATCAAATGCAAAAACGAAATTGTTGACTGGTTATGAATAACTAGAATCAAGTTGCTTTCTAAGAATTAAATAACTTCACTTAGTATTCATTCAACACTTACTCTGAAATAATTAAATTAGCACTATATTTGTGTTGTTTTACATAAACACTGTCAGTGATGGAAGAGTATATGAAAAACGACCAGGGATCAACTTGCCAATCTCAGAAGCTTCAAATGAACATTCGAGTTTGATCTTCATTTTGTTTCTTGACTAAAATTATCATCCGGTTGCGACCGTTCATTTTTAATATACTCATAATTCACTTTACATTGATGATTTCAAATGTGTAAATACACAAACCTCCAAAACTCTGCCCCAAAATATCGTAACAGTGCTCACTAGTGACTAGCCTCGTGAGGAAATTCTCGGAGTTTTAGCTGAAAAGACGTGACCAATGGAGTTCAACCCTGTCGGGTGTAGGCAGTAACTACCAAAGACAAATGGGTGAGGTCGAGCAAAATCCCTAGATCAATCAGAGTTAGACATTAACACCGTTGGATGCCGACCCAGTGGTCCAATGGTTAGGCGTTCGCACACAATACCGAAGGTCCCGGTTTGGAATCCTGCGAGGAGCAGGAGTCGTGGATGCGCACTGCTGGTGAATCCCATACCAGGACGAAACGGCCGTCCAGTGCTTTCAGGTTTCTAATGGTGGTCTAACAATGATTGATTGATGATTTCAAATGTGTAATTACATTAATCTGCTTAGAAAAAGATGTCTTGAAGTTCTGACATACGTTCATGGACGAAAAGGTTATTCATATCGGGTATGAGAAGATATTACAGTTGGTGTGGTCGTAACATAAATAATAATCACTTAGTTCTCAGATTAGACAATTTTGTTTCGACGATGAAATCAAGGTGAAAAATGTTGGCATAAAATGTTTACTAATGCCAAATACTGAATGTGAACTTGTTGAGGAGTATTACCTAGTAGCCGTTTGAACGCAATGTATTCAGAGTCATAACACTAGCACTACATACAATGAGCTTGAAAAATCACCTCATCACTTCTTATCGAAAACCATGAGTTTGTGACGAACGAAATCACGACAAGAAACTAACTTAATGAAATCGGATGTACATAATTCAACTTATTTTTATAGATACAATTGTCAACACTGCAATGCGCTAGGTAAGGAACTGCGATAAACACAAAATATGCATCGCTTATCATAAACATTCCATTTAAACTATTTGGCTAAACTGTAGTATACCGTATCGGCAAAAATTAAAAACTTGCTACGAAGATAAATATCGTGACTTATTCCTTACTTGAGGACTCTTATACATATATATATATATATAGCACCATATGACAGTTTACTTGACTTTTTGTATCTTCCATGGCACATTTTCAGCTAACAATTCCAAGTCGAACAAATTGACCTCGCATATATAAGCGAGAAGTAGCAAAAATGAGAAGTGGATAATTCTCATAGCAGAGACTAGGGACTGCTTAGTGCACTTTTTGCCAGACAGAACAGTAATGGTGCCCAGTGAATAGGTGTTCATTAACATGCTCAAACAAGAACACCATAGAAGTAAGAAGTATTGCGCCAACCACCGAAAACCAACCAATACTAAATAAGGTTGGATAGATATTCTTCTCGCTATGATAGGCTGTTTATAAACAGCGATTATGGTGTTGGCTAAACTACTTCTTCTTGGATAGTCATAATCAGTCAGTCAACATTCAACCATAATTTTATGTCTTATAAGTTTCTAGTTTAGTGCGATACGTTATTGTAGACGTTTAGCCACATTCAGACTTCTTGAAACGATTTACAATTAGAAATTTTACAACTTTAAATCCAAGTTCTTGCAGTAAAACATTTGTTTAGTTTGAATGTATTCTCTCCTATACAAAATTTAGTTATCAGGTAGTAAATTTAATCAACTGTATTGGTTGTCTGAATCTTTCCATTGATGTTTGGGCCTGCAATTGACCAACCTCGATATTGCCTTAAGTGACAAACATCGCAAGCAGAGATAGATGTTGACTAGTAGTGGAATCCAAGACGGGTGTTTCGTCCTAGTTGGGACTCGTCTGAATGTATCTGTATCTATCGCCAGGATCCAAACCCGGTACCATTCACTTCAAACGCCATTGCGCTGTCCATTTAGCTACCGAGTCCAGATATCCCCCCATCCATCTCTGCTTACGAGTGTATGTTTAGAATACCTTTCAATCTTCGCTTCATAATGATTACTTATAAATTTCACTGATTATTATGTACAAAACCACATTACATTTATACTCACTAAATAACGACATTTCTTTTACTCTAGCTTTATTAATTCTACCGTGGATACATGATAGAAAAATGCCCAAATACTTTACATCGTTTCGATCTTATCGGCAAAGAAGGCGCAGCTGAAACATTCAAATAACTTTTATAAATACTGTTATTCTTAAAATTTATTATATTTTCAATAAGCGAATTCATGATCTGCCTTTTATTAATGCCATTCAATCCGGACAGTTTGGCAGAAATCATTACAGCTTTTCATAAAACCAGAATGTTAGCAAAAATATGTGGTCAGCTTTATAAATTTACACTTGATTTGAAAAGTTCATCATTTGGATGCACTAGACACTAATAATCTTTATTGAATACACTATGATAAATATTTTCTTAGAAATATTTTGTCATTTCAACTAACAGAACTCAACTGCATTTTTAGCCAAGTTCATAGTTATTTTATTGAATCTTCATTTTAAACAGTTTTCTGTTTATTCCAGTCATCTACAATTGTCTTAAACAGATGCAGTTTGTGACCGGCCTCAAGCAATTGTCATTTGGGCTCTGTTACCACGCTCCCAGGTAGCTCAGACCAACCCTAATCCGATGTCCTTTTCAGGTCCTTTAAGAAGTACCCTTCCACCGTTTGAGCAACCGGGGAGTGACATCAGCCATCAGACCCGTAACAGGACATGACACCAACTCGGTAATAATCAAATCTCTCTTAACCCCAAGACTCACCCTTCTCACTTTCTTTTATCACCCGGCACTGCTAATGAAACGTGCACGAAACGTCATTCCTGGTCTCCAGAAACCCAGTTCTGAACTATACATTATAGCCCCTAATGTCCGCACATTGTTTCAAGTAGGGCAACAGGCTTTCTTAGCCAGGACTTTAGAATCTCGCACCATAGATGTATGCTGCGTCTCCGAAACGCACATACAAAACCCGAGCAAAATCGTTAATTTGATTTCACTTTGTCAAAATAAAGAAGCTTCTCAATTTACTCTTCATGTATCTGATAGTCCTGATGCTACTTCCCAGGATTTCACTGGCGTAGGTATAGCATTGAGTCTTAGGGCAGAACTAGCTCTCTAAAACAGGATTCTAGTAGATAGTTGCTTGTGCGCCGTCCGACTGAATGGGACAGTAAGGATTGGGAAAGATAGGGACACTCGCTTTGCCTCTTTGTCATATCTACCTACGCTCCCACTGACTGCAGTTCAGACGAGATAAAAGATGAGTTTAACAGAAAGCGTTTGGACCTCCTCCAAAAAGTTAGGCACTCTGATATAGTGATAATGGCTGGTGACTTTAGTGCTCAGGTAGGTAGATTGAGTGAAAAGGAAAGACACGTGGGTGGATGTTATGGTATCGCGGCTCAGAGAACCGGCAGTGGCGACCGTCTGTTGCAGCTATGCTCAGATAACCACCTATTTATGGCAAATACTAAATATAGGCACAAGTATAAACATCTTTTGGCCTGGTTAGCCCTAGAGTCGTCACAACACCGGACGCAACTAGATCACACCGCCATCAGCCACCGATGGAGAGGCTCGAGAGGGGACTATCGCTCGTCCTGGGGCACATGTTTAGATTCAAATCAAGCTCCAGCCCGAAAGCCTAATTGTTTGCGGCTTACTTGACGTAGTAAAGAAGCTGAGAGGAAACCTCCTAGGGTTTTTCCTAATGATAAAGAATATACCTCAGGAACAACTAGAAAAAATTAGGAAGCCATGTAAGTGATGCCCACCCTGAGGAAGCTTCTAACGACATCCAAAAAGCTCTTAAAACAGCAGTGATATCTTCTCGTAGGGTAAATCATATGGTTAGAGAGAAGCCGTCAAACGGTGGATCCTAGTAGCATCCACGAAACTGAAAGATGCTCAGAAACTCATCCCAGTCGGCTCTGAACATGGTGAACAGCGAAGTCAGCTTAAGCGCAGGCTGATAAAAAGCCTACGCAATGACGGCAAACAGTGGTAAAGACAGTAGACAACTGTCTAGATTTATCAAGCACATCGTCACTAGAAATCTATTTGTTGGTGAAACTGCATCAGAAAAAAGGATGGTTGTATCATTCATTCTCAATCCAGGAGATTGGATCGATGGGTAGGGCACCTTGGGGATCGTTTGAACTGGCCTTGAGCCACTTTTCAGTAGCCCACGCTCTATAGTCATCCTGAATGGCGAATTGACGTAAGCCCTCCGACTCCAAATGAAGTTTAGAAAACTATAAGAAGTCCGAAGTGAGGGAATTTTAGGGATGGTGGTCCAGTTTAAACATTTAGATTTATTGAGATCTTAGGTATAATCTGAGAACTGGGTATAATCCCGTCCAACTGGTCTCAGTCACTGTTTTAATTTATAAGCGGGGACAAAAGTCCTCTTGTGACAATCACAGACGAATCAGTCTAACTAATATGGTGTCTAAAATGTTGGCCTCGATAATACTTCGACGCCTAACTAGAGCTCATGAAGAGCAGACTAGAGAAAACCAAGCTGGTTTCAAACCTGGATGTGGCTATATAGACCATATATTCACTTTTCGCAAGTTCTAGAACAAACACAAATTTTGGCGTCCCACTATAGCTGTCTTCCTTTACTTGAAAGTGGCATTTATAGGCATTCGAACACCACTAGTCAAGTGAGAGGTTATGACGAATTCATCTGAATTCAACACTTCAAGTGGTGTCCGTAGGTGCTATCAGCTTTCTCCATTCCTGTTCTACTTTATCACAGATAGGCTTTTAGAGCTTACATTATCTTCATCTGAGTCTTCACGGCTGAACCTCCTACAAAGTGACTCGCTTGTGGAATTTGTATATGCCGATGAAATAGTTCTACTTGGTGAATGCGATGAGAAAATGCAGTGTTCCGACTGCCCTAACCAACAATGCAAGCATGTTCGGGATGTGGGTCTTGTCCTCAAAATGCAAATGTTGCTTCAGGAACTACGTGCGTTGGAACCTGAACCAGTGATAGGAAGTGAAGCAGATGAGTGTGTTTACCGCTTCACTTATCTCTGGCGTCTCATCAGTGCTGATGGCCTGACGACTGATGGAATCTCAGCAAATATACAGAAAGTTTGGTTGGCTTATGCCAACTTGCATCACTTATGGCGTAGGTGAGATGTCTGTCCGCCTACTAAGGACGAGTGTACTGAGCTGCAATTCTCTCCGTCCTACTTTATGGCTGTGAAATATGGCCACTCCGAGTAGAAGATATTCGTAGGTTACTGGTTTTCTATCATTGATATATTTCGACGTATTGCTCGTTTAAACTTTAGATTATCGAGGAATCACTGCTGTTGTTAGGATAAGGGTACTAGGTAAGGATGGCAGATCAATAAATAGACTAGTGAAACTTCAGTTGAGGTGACTGGAACATGTGTTACGTGTGCGAAACCTTTGACTGCCTCGTCAAGCTATGTTTTGTGATGTAGGAGTGGGTTGGAAGAAAGCATCGGGCGGCCGAACCCAGACATGGCAGAAATTCTTGAACTCACTGACAAGTGAATTGAGTCATGCTGATTTGTGTAGACTACCTGACTGGGGTCCGCGAGATGATACTAACCGATGGTTAGGAACCTTGCACGACGTGGCATGTATTCTGTGTTTTCTGAAATTCTAATCTTCAGAGAATTCCTCATCACCTTTATCTTTCTCTTTCTAAGCCTATTTCACTGAATTATACTTGCTGAATAATTTGCTCGAACCTTAATCTTCTTCATAATTGCTAATAATTCTACTTTCTCTACCACTATGGGATTTGAACTGCTAATGTGGTATGGCAACCTGAACTTACGTACATACACACAAAGTTCTACGTTATAACTGACCGATAATCATTTATACTCAAACCTGACCATCCTGTATCAGAATGTTTCAAATTCTAGATTATTAGGGTTCTTAACCGATATAATTTAAAACCAATGTTCATTTACCACGCATATTTACATGACGCATCATTTCAATTCATTTTGCTGTGATCTTAAAAGTTTTTAAACATTTATACGGGGTGTCAGTGGTATGTATCCCAACTTCATTCGTAATTACCAGTGTCCCAAACATCCATATGTGTATAAGCGCCATAACAAATGCATCGACGCTAATAAGTCATAAAGATATAGTTAAACCATGATTTAGGGAAAATATAAGCCATGCTTCAAACAAAATGGAGTGACTTCGGTTACTCAATACTTCTTAGAGTTGGAATTTTTTAAATATAAGGTAAAGGAATAAAATCGATGGCATTAGAATTAAAATGAAACGGATAGGCATAATAATATGGATGTGTCGTAGCAAATAAGTATACGCAATCAAATGAACTAACATGTGATAGGAAACTCAAGGATAATAGTAATCGCGTTACTTGGAAATTTTTTATGCCATTTCTTCTACAGCTACACGCCACTGATTCTTGAACAAGAAATTTCTCATACGATGCTCAACAAGGTTAACTGAAATCTGAAAAATAACCACAAATCACTAAATATACTAGGTGATTAAGTAATCTTACTTGAAAGTGTTTAACAAGATCACAGAGCACACTAAAGTTATCCGAGTTCGACCAAGAAATCAGCTAACTAATACAATATATGTTTTAGATCCAATTAACTAGTTATTATACGACAAACCAAAAGACTCATAGCATACGATAATAACGCACGATACAAAAATAAGATCTTGTAAAAAACTGAGAGAACAACCAATATGATCTCTTGCGAGCTTACATCTTTAACATAATCTAATAACACTTAATTAAAAATTACTTACATCTTTCCGACTATATAAAAGAAACTATAATCAAAGTTTGAAAACTAAATAATTTTTATAATCTAAAGACTCGAAATCTGATTCTAAAATGTTCAACATAATTGAAACAAAGGAATGAAAGTATGATAATGTTCTAAGGGAAAAAAGTGTACAAGAGCCAACTGTGATTTCAGTGGTTCAACAAATATTCACCACAATAACAGTCATTCTTTTTATCATAACAACCCTTTAATAACAAACAGCAGACAAGTCATTGTATGGTAGAATGATCATCTTGCATTCAAATCAAGAGATTTTTCTTTACCTATATCTTGAGCTTTCGCCCACCTTAGTTTTTTAAGTTCAAATTCAACAGGGCTAAATATAATGAATATGAATGTCAAAGGCGCAGCTTTAAAGCCCCTTACAAGTCAAACAAGTGCTATTTTCAACATGGGAAGCAGTATTTAACAGCAATATTTGGGGAACTTTTCAGTAGATACAGCATATTTTTAACAAATAAATCCCTATGTATTTAATACACCATGTCTGGCATCCTGATTTATAAAGAGCAAATATTTTTAGTGTTTTCAGGCTACTTTATATTTGATTGACTTTTTCACGAAACAAAACTACATTATATGGGGAAGACAATTTAACAGCTTCCGAACAAGCTGTAAAGTTGGGTTCAAGCCTTTGTTATGTCCGTCTTACTACTAAAGTCAAATAATGGGATTTCGCCTGTTGTTACTCAGTTAATTATCAGGTAAATATTAACTCTACTTGAAAGTGATACGGTGTAGGTTTACTCGTCTGTGGTTACCGAAAGAGAAAGTAATTTCCACTTTCGTGTAGAACGGTGACCAGTAATTACAACCAGACAAATAAAATACATCTTACTCCAAGATGATGGCGAACCCCTTAGTTGTCTTAACTTATAAATGTACAAAGATTTCTTTTTTCTATATTTAGCCGCTTTCACAGCTTTACTGCAATTCAAAATCTGATGTCAATTCCTAATTTCTGCTGTTGTTAGGAAGCAAGCAGCAGAGTAGCAGGCCTTAAAAATGAAAACTTTCTCTTACGTTTCTTTACTAGCGTCATTAATGGTTGACTCACTCATTTCTGTCTTTTAGATGATTTTAAACAACAGTGCAACGTCATGTGTTACTTCTTTCCTCTATTTCATGTTTATTACTCACCGCTTCTCAGCATTACTATCTAAATGCTTTGGGACTCGACTGGAACGTTCTAATTTAGATCGTTGGTAAAAGTTAGAAAATAACGTCTTTGCAATACTCTGAATTTAGAAATCCCTATTTGATTAACGACTTTTTATCCTTATTCCAAAACTTGCAAATATCCACACAGCAGACTGTACGTAACAAATAACCTTAAGTTAAATGTGTATTTTTTGATAGAGGTGTACACATGCAACACTGATAAATGTCAACGAGCAAGAAACCAACATCGATTTTACCTAATTGTCTAAACCATCAAACAAAATTTATTGTTTAAAGAACAATATTCATGACTTGCTGTGGGAAATGTCACTAGTTAATTTCGTATTGTGCTTGGTTTCTCGTTATACTTAGCTCAACCAGACTTATGTGGCGGTAGTTTCAAGTAAATTTTGATTTTCTTCAGGTGGCTGATGATTGGCAGTTTCTTTTGTAGTCATACTTTTCTCTGTTTGATATGCTGAGCTGTCTGACATATAGAATGGTACTTTAAACACATATTGTTTGTGTTCAGGCTCAACGTTCTGCTTAAGTTCCAGTGCATTATCCTCTAAATAATACCATTCGCACCGATAATAAGGAACAGGCGCTCCAGAATTGTGCTCGTTTTCTCTAAAACATAGTAAATCTGGTCTACCACCCATTTTAGACAGTCGTACGAACGGTGAATCAGTTGATCTGAAATACATTGTATGCTTTTTCTGGGCATCGGATTCTTCTGACATAAAGCCAATGCCTGGAATTTGTGAAATTGGAGGAGGTACTTGATAAACTTCTTTTTTTTTCAGTGGAATAACATGACACATCCACCCAACATCTTTTAAGTTGATTCGAGTGCTCATTTAACTTTAAAAATTATCTAGCGATGATGGAAAAAATAAAAATTTGGATGAACATAAATGTGGTGAAGTGGATATTTTAAAAGTACAAATTAGTTTTAAGCACATAGTTTTTGACTAGGTTCTTTTGGTTAGAGATCTCTAAGAAAATCTGAGGTGGATTAAACCAGCAGGATCATTTCATTCTCTAAGATCGTTCTGTGATAACTAGCAGTGAACTTTGTGAAACGTATTTGGTTTGTCCCACCTGACATCCTGTTTTTCATTTCAGTTGTGATACAAATTATTACCTATGACTGACTGAATGACCGATTGACATCGGCGTTTTCCATATATTTTCATAAAAAGTTACTTACAGCAGAAAATATATGTCTGTCATAACGCGATGACTTGACGAAACCTACTGAATTTTGAAAAACCGACTGCTAATTAGAGCTCTAGTAGGAACGTTAACATTAGAACACAGGCGATAATCTTAGAAAATCATTTTTTAAAAAGTTATTATGAATATTATGGCGTCACTTATTGCGAATTATGATCAAAGTACAATCAGAATTTTAATTTATTCGTTTCATACATTTAGGTAGCCATACGGATCATAGAATCCATCATACGAGTGCATCCTGTTAAGGATCTAAAGGGGAAGCGACAGTGAATCGATTGGCATCACTTCGGTTCCAAATCACGTCACTCAAAGCCTCTATCTATTGTCTATGGTAGTTACTCCAACCCCAAAGAGGTAACCTCTTTTCATTCGTGCGACTTGGTTTAACAGTCAGTATCGTTAAAAGGTCGTCAGATATATTGGTTCAGCCGCCCCAACCTTTATTTCAGTATACTTCTACGCCAGCCATTATTGCATGCCAACATAGACAGTGGATATGGACAAGCGTTGCATGTAACAACCACCTCAGTTGATAAGCGTCCACTTATCACCAATCGATTTACATCCTAACTTAGTTCCCTTCATCTGATCACACAATTGGCATCTCAACGGTCTTGTCATATACAACCTTTTTTAGCAGCATTTTGATCAAACACTAGTAACCTACGAGTTTCCTCGATTTTAAAGATTTTTTCACAACTAAAAGGTAGAACAAAGCTGAATTCATAGAAGGGTGCCCGTCCTTTATTTAGTAAATGGATATCTTGCCTATTCCCCAAGCGACTCAAATCGATAAACTCCAGGAGAGCCCATTCAATAAGTATCAAGATATTTTGAGCATTAACTCATCAGGTCTGACGGAATATTTTCAACAAAAGGTTGAGCGATGGTTTTGATCAGTTATCTCAGTTTTTAAAATTAGTCTGCGTGTTTGCTCACATCAGTCTCCAAGCAACGCTTAACTTTTAGATTGAGAGAGGAACATTTCAAATATGACTGCACTGCTGTTTCAGGAAGTCAAAAACTGCATTTTTTTCAGTGTCTTCATTTAACTGGGCTGTCATTTGCATATTGTAAGTCAATGAGCGAGTCTCCTAGTAGATCAGTTGCTGAAAAGTTAGTTGATGTAACTTATACGATACCATCAATGACAAAATTAACTGAAAACGGGAGCACTGGTGATCCTCATCAAAACCACTCGAGGTTAAATATTATGGTACCAATTTCTTATAGGTTTTGACCTGATCATTAGTGTCTCAGTAGAGGGTCTCAATACGGCCTATGTATTTTATAGGCTTCAAAACTAGGATGTTTTTTTGGGTTTGCTGTTCACAAACCTGGCTAAGTATCAGATAATCGTTGAGCCTACTATTTCGGAAACTGCATTAGCCAAACTGCTAGCTATGCGGCTATTACAAAATTACTCTTCCAACCTCATTGAGAGTCAATATGGACGTTGAGATTCGATTCGGCTTGTTTTGTGAATGTAGACAACTTGAGGAGAGCTAAACAGTAGTTAAAATGTTCTGAAGAGTATTCTTCCCAGTTAAAGGCGTTTTGGGATAAGTAAAACAATGTTACTTCTATGAGTAAATGACAGTAATGTCCGGACGTTATTCTGCTTGGAAATAAATATTCTGTATTCTAAGTGAACTTCAATCTTGTGTCACACCAGCAAGCAGTACCAAATCATGCATTATCTAGGTACAAACAATATCAAATATTTATGCAGCGTTTTAAAGGTTATCTTATGTTATTTAGAATATTTTCATCGTATTTTAAATTAAGTTAAAGAAAAATGGGTAAGATTAAGACTCAAGATTATGTCGTATTTTTCATATATCATTCGCCAATATACAGATATATACCAATATCTTATACTCGATGTGGTATGAAACATTCGATTTCTTTGTACTCGATTCCCGTTCTTTCGGTACATTTCCAGGTATTTGGTAATGACCGATCGAACGCAGTCTAGTCATTCAACTAGAAACTTTTTGGTAAGTTGACAGTTATTAAGATATTTGTATGTTGCATGATTTAAGTCTCTCAAATTAGTTTGAATTCCGGATACCAGCAGATTTGATAAAAAATATTTAATCTTAATTTTAGAATTAGGATCAGAATAGGTTTCTAATCGTAAACTTCTAATTGTCAATGAGATTCAGTCTTTCCATTATTCCTATGAAATTTCTTTTCGATTTTCGGTTTTATGGTTTTGAACTAGAGTAAATATCTTGTGAGCTACTTAAAAGAAATTACGGTTTCTGGAGAAAGAATTTTTCACATTGTTTATCCGTCAGTTACATTTGAAGTAGAATGAACAGTTGGCCATTCACTGTTAGATTGTTTTGTACTAGCCCGTGAAAAAGATATTGTATATTAAACCAATCATTTGGACATTGAGAACTTTATGGTTTTACTTCACCATAAGGGCGAAATGACACCATTTCGATAAACATACACTGCTATACAAACCGAGAGTAACTAAGGATAAATATATCCATACATATTACATGGCACAATAAACTCACTAATATTGGATACTTAAATGATCACAAAAACAGTTGCCATGACTCAACCGAATAATAAGCATTCAATAGACAATAAACAATAAAAATAATATATGTTTCACGAGCTAGTATTAACCAATTGATTTCTTTGGACTCGATTTTCGTTCTTTCGGTACGGTTCTAGGTGTTTGGTAATGTCCAGTGAATGTGTGGTGCTGTGGGGGTCTAGCCACTCGATTATCTGGCTCTGGTCAGTTGACTTTTGTTTGTCTGTTTTTACGTCCCTTGATTTGAGTGAATACGTTTGTTTCAAGGCAGTAGGGTGTCTGGATACCAGCAGCTATTATATTACCAAACCCGATATCAGTTCACTGCAATGTGGATAATAATAAGGAGAACATTCTACGGCTAATAAGAATAATATTTCAGGAGTAAATAAATAGATAATTTAGTTTATTAATTGGTAATGAAGATTGTGAGAGAGGATCGAAATGTAAACAAGGTATAGGAAACATATATAATAGGCGGGATAGATTAAATTGGTGATCTGAGGAGATGGTAATAATAACAACTTGCAGGTCTCAGGACATGCACCAGGCACAGCTTGTCCACGACGGAGATGATAATCCGTATGTGAGTACGTGTTTATCAAGTCTCTTCTTAAAGCTGTCCACTGAGGGGGCTGTTTACATCTCGGCTGGGAGAGCATTCCAAGTTGCAACGACTCAATGAGAAAAAGTGTGCACCAACCTGAGTATTCGCTCTTTGATGTGCAATTTTTCGAGGATTGCCTCGAGGGGAGTGGTGGTGATGCATCGGTAAGATGCTTACGTTGGGGCGGTTTGGCGTGTTTAATATGTTGTACGCGATAATCAGATGACCTTTAATTCTCCAGTAATTCATAGAGAATAATCCTAAGTGCTGGAGTCCATCTTCGAACGGTTTGTTCTTCAACTTTATCGCTCATTTAGTTGCTCGTCTCTGTACTCGCTCCTGGAAATTTATGTCTCTTTTAAGGAGAGGGGATGCGATGACATTGAGAATCTCGAAGTGTTAGCGTGCATGTGTTGAACAGCGTTGAGAATAATTCTGGTGTGATAGCACCAAGCTGTCTTCGCATAAAGTGAAGACTTGCGTTATCCTTGGCTGGGTCCCCTATGTAGTTTGAACTGGTGACTGGGCTTCTTGTCGTTATTAAACCAAGATCGCTCTCTGAGGAGACATGAGGGAGCGCACAACTGTTGTGGATGTCAATCGTTTGTGTCATGTGGGGCAGGATGTACATGACGTGATATTTCGGCTGGTTTAGTTTTAGAACTTTTTTCACCACCCATTCTTCAATAGATGCAATGTCCCTTCGTAGTTCAGTTTATTCTTCCTCGTTTCTTATGAACCTTCAGGTCTTTACATCTTCTGCACAGACCAATGCGGCTTAGCTAATTTTGTATAACAGATCATAAAGGAATATCGGGAAGAGAAGTGAACTTGGGATGGTCCTCTGTGAAAATCTCGGTTTTGAGACTCGTCAGCTCACGTGCACTCTATTAGCCTTGATGCGAAACTTTCTATTCTCAGGGTAGCCAAGACAGATGCGGGTCATGAAGCTCATTTTCTCAACCTTCTCTAGAATAAGTACATCGAAAGGTTTTACAAAGTCAAGAAAGATTTTGTAAACTGGTTTTTCCTGTTCCAGCAGGTTGCTCAGATGTCTCATGCTATGAGAAGATTGAGTGCACATGACCTACCCTTTTGAAACCCATATTGAGCTTCACGGTGAATTTTGTTCTTAATGTAATATATATGTATTCTGAAATAACTTGTGTTACAAGAGGCATGCCAGTTTACAAGCAAAATCAAATTGTTACAAATACACCATATTTACTGTAAAAAGATGCGCTGTTAAATTTGTAATACGAGTCTGTTTCTGACAGCAAGTTTACACCATGTCACCGGCAGGAATAGTTTAATACAGCCACATTTTCAGCAGGTGATTACAAATAGATTGTTCACACTTTAGAGATCTTGGTGGTATGCATAATTCACGGGTGAATTTGTTAGAAAGTATCGATTGAAAGGCGCTTGGTATGGGTTGTAACTCTGACAAG